AACATATTTCAATTTAGCTGGCGATGAGGACTATACCCGGCATTTCACAGATGAATTATATGTGAAGCATTAACAAAAGCACCATAATCAGAACATGCAGTAGTTATCATGACATCTCCTATACCAAAACGAAAACCACAAAGCACAACATATCGCTCTCCAATGCACAGGAAAACCATCTATAGACAACAAGCCCAATCGAACAGCACAGTATCCTATTTTACATACTAATGCTATTGTGCGGGGGGGGCGGTGCGGGGACCGGGGCCAACCCCCCGCGCGCTGCAAAACGCCAAGAGAACTGGCAAGAAACAGACTGTGGCAGAGGTAACCCCGCGCTAAAACAATTACTTCTGCGGTATTGTAGGTGAGACGGCCAACAGAGGAAAAAAACACCAATCTAGCCGAATGACCCAATTGGAACAACGCAGTGCAATCCAACACGTGAACCAAGAGCCAAAAAAAAGATCGCCACACACTCCACCAGCTAGCGTTAATATACCACGTTTTTTTTGTCATCTACAAGCAAAACAGATTACCCCGACAAAGTCACCCGATCACACCACTCATACTAGTCAGTTCCTGCATGGGACACCAACCATTACCATATTGATCATTAAGTGGGGGACAACAGGTTTACCAGGCACAACAAAATAGGGCGGCGAGACAGATGGCTAGCGGTAGGTGCCCACCTGTCGAAAAAAGGTAACTAGTCATATTAACAGATACTGTAGACATTAAGGCCCACAAACCAATTCACATGACATAGTGTAGGCGACCACCTACCTGCCAGACTGGTGGAAGAAAAGCTGCAGACGCTAAAATAGCTCACCAAATTTACCCATAAGAAATCTGATGATCTACGTGCACGCCTTACAGTACGTACCTCAGCCGATCTCGAGAAAGAAACTCAGACTTTTACTGAAAAACCTTAGCTGCAAAATACATACGTAGGATGGAACAAGCAAATCACAGTACTGCGGCCGCCTGAAGAAGTTCGCCAGTGAAACCAGAACAGACACCTCTGTGTTCAGCGCTGCGACGCGAAAACTGCCCACACACCACCCATTGACCAACCACACCAACATGAAAAATATACCAATCGATTAGCTTGATCCCTACCAACAAGGGGGGAACCGTATATTGCCAACTGAGCACTCGCATCCACAACCGAAATAATATTATGGGAACCCTGGCAGAGAAAAACACTGCGCATTTCACTAAAACTCAACACAAACCCACCACAGGGATACCGATAGCATTTTTGGGAGGAAGACACAAGATACATATTAAGGGTTTTGGAACACCCGATAGGTGGAACACACTGTGCAACCCAACCACACGTAGCAACACCAAGAAGGATGCCACTGCTAAGCTATCCCACACAACCCTTCCATACCCAAACCAAACTAGTAAAGAACCTAACCATAAAGCTGCCAAACCACAAACCAAAAAAATAACAAGCGTTGGAACACAAAAGAATAGCACCCACACATTGCAACATTAGAGTTTATGACGAGCGCCTAGATTCGACGATATTAATGTCAAGAGCACTTAATACGCAATCCTCATTCTAATGTGCAAGTGGTGCGGTCACAATCGGAGCAATACAATCACCCAAACCCAAAACAAAAACGGAACAACATGGTAGACTAAAGTCAGATGTCAAGAAATCGAGTAGCGCACACAGCGTGGAAAGTACACCAAAGCGACACGCAAAAATATCGCCAGTAGTACCCAGGCCAAGCCACACCACAACAATCAGATCACCTCACAAGCTAAAAAGCTGCAGCTGACAAAATTCGATGCTGCTTTCTTTCACAACAGCCATACTGACACGTTTAGTACAACAAAAATCTTGGTCACAGACTTCAATGAGACAAATCCCTACCTTCTAGAGTAGCTTGATGGTGTATTCCACGCCACAACTTTGGAACCACACTGACAACATTGCGTACAAAAAACAATCAAAGCCCAACACACCCAAAGCCACGACTCTGATGATCGCACACTCCTACAGCTAAAAAAACACACAGTCAATAAACCACGGACCACAGGAGACACAATATTACAGGGTGCGTGGCGAGCGCTGCCACCCCACCACACATGGACACAAAGAAGAAAAATGTATTGATTTCGTGAATCAATGCCCCGGCAAAGCCAGACAGGCAGCTAAACACCAATAAACAGTTGGTTTCAGCATGACTAAAGCGCAAAAATTGGGGCAAACCAAACAAAAAACGCGTGTCAATTCTTCCAACTCAAATACTTGGACTGACACCAACAGAATTTTTTCGTTTTGGTGGGTGGGGGAACCATCAAAAACAGAACACTCCCCTTCCATATGGCTCAACAACAGAAATTAATACCACAACGAACGAAACAAGCAAGAAGTGTGACACAAAAGCGGCAACAATAACAAACACAACCCAGAAACCAGCAAAATTACCCATTGCTCACAAACACTGACTGCGCGATAAATCGCATCTTTGGTGTTATGCGGTCGTGGGGTGGCCGTACACTAATCTATTTGCCAAATTGGTCTCATGAATCCACACAACAACCCTAAGTCATAAAAAAACCTCAACTGCGACACACAGGTTGTATAGAAGACGGGGGAATTAATATAAAATGGATCCAATTACACAATCCCCCCAATCAAACGCTGACGACCATTCAATTACAACCATTTAACCACCCCAATAATACCCAAATTGTCGACCAGTTTTTCCCGCAAACACACACCAAACTAATCAGTCGAACAACGCCTAACAACGTCTAACCAACCCAAAGAAGCAGCTCGTAATAAAACACGCAACGAAAAGCAAAAACACCAATAAACTGTAACGCATGTTCACTACCAACCACGAAACCATGCTAATACTAAGACACTCAAGAACAAAATGAAATGACAACAAATACAGTACAATCCGAACACAAGCCTGTTCTTAATATATGCATTCCGAATCAATTCATAATCAGAGACTACACACTACTACCTCCACAACACCTGTAGGCGCGTGCTAACCACCACACTTGTTTGCTGCCGCAACAACACAGCCTCGTGAATTATCTTCCGAGTTAAGGTCACGGGAACCCGAAAAAAAAAAAGGTGGCATAAAACAAAATGGAAGAGGTAAGGTGAAGACACACCCATCATCACCATCATCACTCGCCAAGAATATTTTTGGGTACCGTGGCCACCAATCCGTGGGCAGGGGGGCGCATAATGAACAACAAAGCTGAACTTGGTGGGCTCTGGAGTAACGGAGCACAATAACACCTCACAGTGATAAAAACAAATCGGGGGGGGGGTGCACAACAACATTGACTGGGGGGGGTCGGTGTGGGGGATCGCGACAAACACAAACCTTACACATCATCGGGAAAAAAGATCTTCTGTAGAGTGCACCAGGTAACATGCTACCTCTAGCATTTATTCGGAAAAAGCGGAATCAACCGCTGGAAACACAGTTGGGTTTAGAAGATAGTCAACGAATGCGTCTAAGTTGTTGGGGATACTGCGATCCCAGGAAACCACAAAAGCAAGCCACACCCAAAACCGTGTTGTAAAAAACGGGATGAGTGTCCATCGCCGGCAAGCACAAAAGGAAACAAGTGGCAATCGTTCACAATAGTGAATAATACACTGTGTGTAGAGCAAAAATAACGATGTGAGGCGTGCAGGATGAATCAGAAGACGAGGGCAATTGATATTACTCAAAAAGCTTGAGAAATCCATCTCTCTAATAAAAACTCATCCCATTAATTCAGCTGGGGATCGCCGTTTGACGCACAGGACAAAATGTCATGACATCCGTTCCGTATTCTCGGAAACAGGAAATGAACTCCAGATATATTGAAACAACTATAACTAATACCCTTGTAACTCTACTTGTGCACCTCACATAAAAATGGAACCAAACGCACACGCACACCATCGATAAGAGGACGAGGGGGGGTTGTAAGGTGTGGTGGGGACGGGGGGGGGGGAAAAGTCGTTAGCGCACCACCCAGTAACCAAAACAACAACAAATTGCACCACAACTAAATCTTGGACAGCACCAGGCTGACTAAGCAAACCACACGGCAGCCACCAACCAAATCCTGCGACAAAACTGTCGCTAAAATACACGTACTCAACCCCAATTCATATACAACACATCTCCACAACCTTAACAATAACAAAAACAAACATAAAAGAGAAAAAAAACAACACACAACAAACTATCCCAAACCACCACGATCTCCTACACTTAAAGATGTGCTCCATCCGGTTGTGGCAAGCCAAGCAGATGCTTCCGTACATACACCTTCTAACACGAAGAACTCCTAAAAACCCACAATGGTGACTGGTGGGCAAACAAAACACAACCACTTTTCTTCCGTCGTGTACACAAGTGAAGCCAAATGAACCCCATGAGATCCGTCCTCAACCACAACAAAGCCGCACAGTAGCAAAATCCACTCACGCATCTGAAAGAAACGGAACGTGTGTTTGTACAGTGAGGGAGTTCACGCGATTTTATCACGCTTACCGAAAACCACAGGTAAACCTCGCAGGGACAGCACAACAAGGGCGGGAATACCAGCTAGTTCCAACCAGGACACATCATCCTGGTCCCCTAATCTCCATAACATTACACACTCATAGACAAACAACACCAACACACCTCCTCCAACAAACAACATCGGGCCTGATTTGGACAACAGAAGGACACACTATAATAATTGGCTGCATCAAGCACATGTAGCAATAAAATTGGGGGCAGTGGGGGGGGGCATGGAGACATCCAGTGTCGAATGCACGTGTTGAAGCACACCATTAGGCTCGTATAGCCCCCAACGTGAGAGCAACAGGCGGCCTTTTCGCTTTGAGGTCAAAGAATGGGGCATTATTTCCACAGTTTAGGGCGTCTGACGGCACTTAACTTACCAATGAGCACCTTGTAGGGCAGGAACTCCTTTCTGAGGTTCAAGTGAGCAATGTGTCCCACCACTTCAAAGCCGGTGGGAATCTCATCGGAGTCTGCTGGGAGGACAGCGGCGAGTACAGCGCGAGGTGAATAGCTGTGGTAGTCCAGAGAGACGGTGTGGGTGCCCATCCGACCTCGGTTGTCAGTGATCCACTGGAGGTCGTCGGGTGATAGGGGAGTCTGTAGACATGATTCTGGGGTGAGGAGAACCACCTTCTCTTCCTGAAGGAGGGGGAGGGAGGGAGAGAGGAAGGGGTGCGTGAGAGGGAGAAGGAGGAATACAAACACACTCGTAGCCTAAGGTCATATTCCGTGTGGTTCCCACGGTGTGGAAGAGAGGCCAAGTGATCTCACTGCTCAAGCCATACAGTATATACTCTCTTTCACACAATAATTAGCCAGGTCCTTGTTTGAAGGGGCGTACATGAGATTCAGAGGGAGGAGGTCAGGGGGAAAAGAGGAGGAAGAGGAAATTGGGTTGGAACAAAAGAGACAGAGTCTCCAGCATCACCCAGTGGGTATGCTCAGCTGACAGGAAGCCTCAAAGATCAACACTTTATCCAGAGCTTCAGACTGGAAATGCTCCCATGTTTAATGCCCATAGTAAACAGGATGCAGCATGTGACCGACATTGCCTGTAAAAACTTCGCCTAGAGTGTATCACCAAATACGGGATGGCAGACCTACCCAAAGTAAAATATTCCCACAGTTTAGATTGTTATCTAAGGGAAGAAACTGGGGTAGTTACCACCATGGTGCATACCACAAGTTGCTCAACACCACTAAGTTTACAGACTCTCTCTTTTCCTTCCTTTCTCTGCCCGAGAGACCATATTTGTTCAAGTCGACCATTTATGTTTTCGTCTTGTTTTCACGTGGTGACAGGCACAAAGACGCCGACACTGAGAGGCTGCACTGAGCACGAGACCTTCACTGTTGGCACAATTTCCAGCTGGCTAGGCAGTGATGCAATGTGTACACATAATAATTATGGGCCCGAAGTACGGTGAAGTATGGAAGTATATGCTAATTTTTTTATTAAGTAAAAGGGTTCTCCAGAGGAGAAAATCAGTTGCAAGTTGTGAAATTCTGAAAGTGAAACGAGTCCGACTGTTGTGAGGGGAAGGGGCAGTGGACTCCTGAGAATTGTGGAGAGGCAGATGAAGGCCTGGAAAGTGTGGCTGGTGGCCACACCTAAGTGAAACCTAAAGGAGGGAGGGGGCCACCTTACAAGACCTCCATGCCATTTTCAGTGCCCCACCTTCTCGCCTTCTCCCACGCTCGTTTGGACATTCTTGATCCGCGGGTACCTGAGCACCACGTGTTGCAACTTGCGGAGAAACTTGGAACAGAGGGTGGGCTCTGGCAGGAAAACGGCCGGCAGCGTTGCCTGGCGCCGAAACGCAGCTCTGTCCAGCTGCCGCATGCCTCTTACGGAGGCCGGCGGTGCAAAGAAGGCCTCCAACTTGGATTGCATGGTGCACAGCAGCCGAGAGAGCCTTCTCCTCACACCTACGGTTCTCATAAGAGCACGATATTCTAATTAATGCGCAGCTGGCTGCAAAACGGAGCGTGTCTAGCTAGCTGTGATGTGTGAGGAAGAGGGCGAGCGTAAAGTCTTCGAATTTGGCCATGAGCACTTGACCTCCTGCAGCAGTAAAGTTGCAGGCTGGGACGACTCCTTCCACACGGAAGTGAGAAGTGAGAGCATGAATGATGTGTGCATGTGTCTGGGATGTTCACATGCGTTGAATGTGCAATAATGATTTATCTCTCTGTCTCTCAGTTTGACCGTCTCCTACTGGGACGATGGGAGGAGGCAATGAGGGACGGTGTGTTCAGATACGACCTGCAAGAAGTGGCATCCAGGACAGTTCCGGGGCAGTACGGCTTTGTTGCTCTGGTAAATGACACAAAAATCACACACTATTAGTCCGCGTGTGTTTATCACTGGTAGAATAACCCGAAGCGGTTCAGTCATCGCAGACCTCCAGCCGATATGCAGATGTTAGTTCAACCTTTTGACCCCAACCAGTTCAACTTCAACAGAGTCAAAGAGAAAGAGGTATGCACAATTACTCTTCTCTTCTTTCCAAATCATCCCCACCACCTCACTTTCCTGTGAGTGTTAACACAGCATGATGTAATCATTAAATGACCTCATCGTCATAATAATGAATGCTCCCTAGCAACCGTGGTGTCATTGAAAATCACTTGAAGAGGCTCTAAGTGCCATGTTGATTTCAGTCAGGAAGTCTTGTGGCTAGTAAACATCCTTTGTCGCTGCACACAGAGCTGTGGGATGGTGCCACCTTGGCTGGGAGAGTTAGGGGACAAGTGGTTGAAGCCCGGGCGTGTTCCCATCTCTTCACCATTCCAGGTTCTGTTTGAAGTGAGGAGGAGGAGGAAAGACGAGGGGCAGGACACAGCAGAGGTGATTCTCTCACTGGACACAACAACAGACGTTTCCTCAAACCAGTCTCTTTGTGTTGGTTCCTGTCCGGCTCCCTGTGAGCCTGCCATGTTCCCAGCCCGACGTCTACGTGGAGTTTGCATACATCTTGTTCTGGCGCACACACACAGTGTAGCTATCCACTTGCATGTTGCTGGACTTGCAGATAGGAAAATAGAGTTTTTCTTTCCTGGGTGTAGCTGTGTTGCCTTCTCACCTCCTTGTTGGTGCATTTACTTTAAATGGAATGTATCGGTACAGGTAGAAATTTTACTAAAAATAGAACTAAACAATAGGGCCCAGTGCATGGACGCAAGTAGGTTTCCATTTTCAGTAAATTTCTAAATTTAGCCCTCATATACTGCCGCGTTCCATTTAAGCACCTGCATGTGGTGATGCTGACAAAAGCCGCCCCCAGTTTCTTGTGTTTCCTTTAACCATACGTGGCTCTATTTGCCTCTCTGTTTCTGACTCACACACCTGGTTAAGGACATTAATGCGGGTGGAAGTGCTGGGGTTAAGAGAGGAATTTAACTTCTTCTTAGCCGGAGGGAAGTGTGTTCATAACCGCAACGTATATGGACAATGTTCTTTTGTGTCCTCTCCTTATGCTAATTATGCCACATCCCTTTTACGATTGGGTGTTTATATAGAGCGGTCCCATTGTTTGTACGACCGATGATGAGTGAACTTTTATGGCTTTGATCTGAGAGGCCATTGGTTCTCCTCCGGATGTATGTACACTGATGTATTGGATGCAGGGAGAGGGTCACATGATTGCTGTCAACGTCAGCCCCATTGACAGAGGACACGTGCTGCTGGTGCCTGAACCCTCGAGCTGTCTACCTCAGGTCTCAACCTCATTGGAGCCCATACTGCTTGGCATACTATGTGCCTATGTTTGTGTATAATAATTATTATAGTCAATAGTGCATAAGGACAAGTACATGGGGACAGCGAAATATAGTTGAGGCTCTGTACTCATGCTTAATTACCGTAATGGGTTTACTCCATTGTACAAGGTCTGACTGCTGTACGATGTGCAGGTGATGACGCTGAGCTCACTGCAGCTGTGTTTGGAGCTAGTCTCACTCAGTGGACACAGGTATGCCAGGGGATCACTGATTGGAAGAGTGGGCCCTTGTATCTCTCCGTTCTCGATCTGCAGTGGGTTTTGCATGGTGGCCAACAGTCTGCTGGCCTATGCCTCAGTCAACCACCTCCACTACCATTTTCTCTACATTGACCACCCTCACCTCCCAGCCAGGACACTGGTATATTATATACAACATGATCCACGTAACACTTTCTCATGGAGTGCTGCTGTCTCCAGGGAGGACGAGAGGTGAATGGCACCAGGGGATGCTATCAGTTGACTAGACATTACGTAAGAGGATTTGGATTCCAGCTGGACTCTGACCCCCAGAGTTGCGCAAGGTCATTGACCCCTTCCTGTGCAGTTACGTAGAATTATGAATAATTCATGAGGTAACTCTGAGTCAGCTCCAATGTATGGCACTACACTGTCGGAGCTACTTAGGACCATGCCGTAATGCAAGATATGAGCTGAATAATGTACTATTATTGCCTACTACGTTAATGAGCTAAAACATGGGCAAAGCCCTGCAGGGCTGAATAATGATGGCAGAAATATTTAGTAAGTGGCTGTTGTTTTGCTTTGCAGAGCGATATTCCAGGTCGTGTCGCTCTTACTAGTGTCTGGGGTTCCTTACAATATTGCAATGCTGAGGGGACCCCCATTTTCCGACCCCCACGCCCCCTCCGACCCCCGGCACCCTCCAAGTGCACCGCCCTCTCTCGTGAGAACAATCCTGATTCCAAGAAAACCAGTGCTAGGTATGTCCATTTCTGGAGGTTGTGGCAAAATTGGACACTTTGTCCATGGGAAAAGGAAAGAGGAAGGAAAGCTAAGTGTTGACGTACACACACACACACAGTGTGCTGCTGACTGATGCCAAACACTAAAACAGTAGAAATAAGGAGTTAATAAGGAGTTGGTGTGTGGTTGTGTATTTTCACATCTGAATGTGTGTCCGTGGTGTCACTGTGGACATAATAGGCAGATCAGTGCACAGGGAAATTAAACTGGAGTTAATTATGATGTCATTATGACAGGGTTGAAGCAGCTCTACCAGAGAGTGGGACCACCGCCGCCTCTCTTTGCAGCCTCCTGTGAACTGGCACTCGGCCTCATACCTGTCATGGGTGGGCCACACTTGTCCAAGAGAATACTGCCTTATTATTGCTGCACAGATATGGAGACGTATGCTACCATAACGGAGGAAGAGATCGTGGCCATATTGAAAGAACAGGAGCTGACTGAAGATGAGTTCTCTGCACTAGTTGACAAACTGTCCAGCTACAATGAAACAAAGTCATGATAATTATATACTTTCTTGTGATTTTCATCGAAATGTCATGACATTACATGACCAATATCTACACAAACCACCACATGTGCATTATTGGATTCGCTTCAGCAAAATGTTTCCAAAAATGTGGCTGCAAAAGAACATGATGATTCACTAATAGCAGCTGTGCTAAGTGTGAACGTTTACAATGAGGGGAGGGCGACTTCATTCACCATGGGTTGCCCCTGAAGAACGGCTTTGATATTGTCAACTGTCATCTGCACCATTGCCTGTCGGGTGGGGAGAGTGGCACTGCCAGTGTGGGGTGTGAGGGTTAGATTGGGGAGGGAGAGGAGGGTGTGGTCACGTGGGAGGGGCTCAGGATCTGTCACGTCGAGCCCGGCGGCAGAGATGACTCCGCCCCTCAGAGCCTCGGCGAGGGCGTCCTGGTCCACCAGAGTCCCGCGAGAGATGTTGACAAACACGCCAGTCGGCTTCATGGCGGCAAACTGCTCCCTGCTCATCATGTGGTGTGTGTCGCCAGTGGCCGGTGCAGCTAGCACCACATAGTCTGACTCACCCAGCAGACCTGCTAGTGTTGGAACATATGTAGCTCCGACTCTCTCCTCCTCCTCGGCCGATTTTCGGTGACGATTGTGGTAGAGTACCTTCATCTCGAAACCAACCGCCCTCTTGGCAATCTCGTACCCTATCCTCCCCATACCAACTATTCCCAGAGTGGTTCCGCTGACCTGTTGACCCATCCAGTTGGAGTCAAAGGTACTCGTGCTCGGATTCTTGGAGATAGAGTCTCCCTCCACCACTTTTCTCCCACTGGCTAGAAGAAGAGCCCACGCCATGTCGGCAGTCGTCTTGTTGAGGACATTTGGTGTGTACCCCACCCTAACTCCTCTCTCTGCACAGGCTGCCAGGTCCACGTGATCGTAGCCCACCGCACAGTTACCCACAACCCTCAGGTTGGGGAGAGACGTTATGAGCTCTCGGGTGACGGCAGGAGCTATCCATACGAAAATGGCGACTATCTTCTCCTTGAGCCCCGCCTCCTCGCCCGGTTGAACCATGTGGAATTCTCTGTCCAGCTTTTCCTGCAGGTCGGGGTGCATACGGCTGCACTGGTACACGTAGGGTTTGTCTGGAGTCGACATTCTAGAGCCACTAGTGACGGTGCACAGCGAGGGCCTCAACAAAACGAAACAAGACGAAGAAAGTGGGCGTTCATTCACCCACGTGGCAAAGGTCAAAGGTTGAAACAGCAATGGCGACAACAAAGTGGCGACTGATGTGTATCGGATTCAACGGTTTTGGCCAACTGAACGTCCCCACAGAAGAGAATGAGGGCGGCAATACGTCCTCTGATATCACAGTAGCCTCACCAAGAGCGCTGTTGGAGCTGTCTTCCCCGCCTGTATCAGTATTCGTCAGCTCATGCTGGGACTCTCTCTACGTACATATCTCTACTGAGGACGGTAACTCGCACTCTCGGTGTACTGGAGTATGGGCTAGCTGTGTTCTGGAGGCCAAGAAGTTACTACGACAAGGGGACGATATTTTGGAAGTGGTCGAGACTCCAAATGGACTGCTAATCTTGCGCACTGGAGAAGCAAGACTGCTAGTGGTAGCGAGCAGGCCCAGCGTTTCGCTGGAAGTGAGAGAATGTGAGGACAAATCCATCAGGGAGGTTACCAAGATGAGCTGTCTGAAAAACAGCGGCCAGATTTACTCGCTCCTTGGCTCTGGTGCGATCTATGAGTGTGTGTTCGATGCTCAGTCTCACCACTTGAAACTCAGTCGAGAACTACACGTGGACAGCCATCAGGTGTCGGATATTGCCTGTGGAGCAGACCACTGCCTTCTGCTGACTATAGCTGGAGACATCTTCTCCTTTGGACTAGGTACCAGAGGACAGCTCGGTCATGGAGACCTCACCTCTCACAGCGAGCCCACCCTCATCCAAGCCCTAGCTGGAGTCCCTATGAAATCTATAGCTTGCGGTCTGTGGCATAATCTGGTGCTGTCTCAGACCGGGGACCCATACTCCTGGGGCTGGAACCAAGACAGTCAGCTCGGTCTGAAAGATCCACCGGGAAACACAGTTACTGTACCGGCTCTTGTTGACGTTATACCAGAGGTTGGTGGTGAAGATGTGGATATCGTTTCTGTCAGTTGTGGGAGTCGGCACTCGGCTGCAGTGGGTGGCAGTGGAGAGTTGTTCTGTTGGGGCTGGGAGGGTTACGGACAGACGAGGCAAGGTGGTGTGGGCTCTGGAGCTAGGGTCCACAGTGTCTACTGCTGCCACTGGTCCACTCTCTACTTACAGTCTGACACTACCATCTCACTACATGCAGAACACCAGGACTAGCAATGTATTTGCATATGTCAGTGCATCACTAACTTGCACTAGTCTGTTCCATTATAGCAGAATGATTACAGGGCTTTGTCACGGAAATTCAACATCTTTTAAAAAATAAACAGACAGTGAAAAGTTGTACGAGTTCAAGTTGTTTTGCCGGGGGTGATGGTGGGTACACAGAGAGTCCATGGACCTCCACAGATGCAGGAGACGGACCAATTCTGTCTCCACATCATGACGGGATGAGTGGTGAGAGCAGCCGGACTGGTCTCCGTGGCTGTCGGGGTGGTGGCTGACTGGAGACCGTCTGGAACCACAGTCCAACACCGACATCTGGTGAATGCATTGATGAGTCACGAATACTGATACTATTTCCTGGTTTCATGGTTGCATGCAATATAATTTTAGTTTGGTATAGCAGGAGAGATTTAAAAATCTTGTAATTAACAAAGAAAAGCTACTGTCTTATCCACTATATAGAAGTCCCACCAGGCACCAGTAGCTATATTATTGTCAGTTATCTTGTGTGGAGTAATATTGACCTGCTGCACTGCTTGAGTTTGGAGTTTTGAATGAGAGTCTTCATGATGACTCCTCCGTGGATGACGTCTCTCTGCTCCTCAACGAAGCAGTCCTTCCAGGGAGGAGAGAGACCATGGGGGACCGTGAGGGTGAGGGGGGAGTAGGGGTCCATGGAGGTGAAATTCTCCTGCACCTCTCGTCTGATCCCGGGGGCCATGTCTTTGTGGTAGACCTCCGGGAGTTTGCACGAGACCACACCATTCATGAACCCTGCACACACACACACAGCAATGATGGTGGTATAGAGCCAGTGTATTAGAGAGGGGGGGTGTTAAAGAGAGAGAGAGAGGGAGGGAGGGAGGGAGTAAGCAACCGTCCGTGTTACCTTGTAGGTGAGCAGCTTTTGTTAGGGTGAGCAGGTTTGGATACTTCTCTGTCGGGATGTTACCAGATATCTCTGTGAAATAAGGTGACAAGGCTCCCTTGACAACACCCCACCAGCTTATAGTGAAGTCTGCTGGACGTGGCAGTGGAAATAGGCTCACCTGATACAATGTCGTCTGGAAGATCATTGGAGGCGGACTGAATGTACTTGGTGAGGACTTTGAAGAGTAGGGAAAGTGCTCCGTCTGTACGTCGGGAGATTTGTTTGAATAGTGTAAGGGTTAAATGTATGTATATACCAGTGACAGGTATGAGGGGTTGGGGGAGAGCCCTGTTCCACATATACACCAGCAGCAGGCCTTGCCTCAGTAGCTCCAATGCACTCGGCTCAGGAAGCTGTGGACACACATTCAGCCTATGTACATTTTATATGACACTGAATGGCTGTACAAAGAAACTTTAGAATATGGTCTACTGGTGTTGATGTAATGGAAAACTTTCTTCAGTGATGATGTATAAGGGCTCACAGAAGTGGTGTTTCCAGAAGGCAGGTTTGCCACTATTTTAATGGTCAGTTCCAGTAGCCAGTGGACGTGACTCTGGAGCTGTAACGTCGTTCCTGACGGAAGAGAAGAAACACTGCAGTGAAAGCTCTGACGCGGATATCAGAGCTACGGAGTTTCCAACAGGAAGCAGACCTGGTTGTATGACGAAGTCTGAGAGAGTCAGTTGACCGCCGAGGGTCTCCACGCTGTCCTCACTGGCATTGGTTCTGCATAAACCTGTACACATCACAGTAATACAGGCAGACAATCTACTGGATAGCAGTTTCTCTTGGTAAGTGAGAATGAGCAAGTTTGTGTCAAACGTTTACTGAGATGACCTTACCACTGAAAACTGGTTTTGTGCATATTACTAATACATACTGTATGTACGTCCCATGAAAGATCAAGTACACTTGCTCTCCTCCAGATCTCCTGACTATATGGGTATTGTAAGTAGCACTCACTGGTGATAGAGTCCATGAGCCAAGTGTCTGAAGAGGAGTCGGCCATCAGACTGAGCCCCAGGAGACCGTTTGTTGCGTGGAGACGAGAGAGATTGCGATATCCGAGCACAGTGTTCAGCCCTTCCTCTGAACAACTGCATCGGCAATGGGTGACACGGGGGGAGGAGAAATTAGGCCAAGATTACGCAACAGAACGGCATACTATTTAGTCTAAGAGAAGAAGAATGCTGCAAAGATGTTCTAATGTGTAAAATAGATCCTAATGTTCATCCTCATTGAATCTGGACAAGACAGGTGTAAAGTTTGATTCTTCAAAGTGTAAAATCGTATCATGAGAGGAGGTGCAGTACCTGTGTATGAGAGAGCAAGTGGTGAAGTAGTGTCTCTTGAGCTGTTCCTGGAGACAGCCGGAGTTACTCTGGTAGTCTGTGTGATAGTGAGCCAGGACACTCTGCAGGAAACCATGGACTCGGTCGACTCGTGCCAACGTGGCCACCAGGTCCCAGGGGTTCTGTTGGGTGACTGTGGCCAGTGAGAGGAGACGACTGCACCTAGACACCTCCGGAGCACCCGCGTCTGCAACGAGGAGGAAGTGGTGGTGAAAGAGAATGCAGAGAAATCTCCAAATAAGATATACACCTCACAAGGTCAATAAGGATTTCAACTTTTTTTTACAGGGACGTGAGTAAATAAAGTAAACTATAACTTGACTACAGTTGGAGTATGGAATAGCAACACCATCTCGTGGTATCCGATTCCTATTTCGCTGTCCCTTCACATTAAGGTTTGCAGACACACGAGTAAACGAAACGGAGAAATTGTAAGCACAGTTAGAGAAAGAGATAGAGAGAGCGAGGTAGGATGGACTGCTCACCCTTGGCTCCCAGTAGGAGAGATCCGAGGTGGAGTTGGTGGAGGAACTCGCTGGTGGCGATGGCCGCACAGCCGGCATTGGGGGAGAGACAGACGGCGAGCGGAGTGGGGGGAGAGGTGGGGGAGGGGGGAGGAGTCAGGAGCCTCGCCTTCTTGGGAACTGCAGTTCAGATATTGTATAAAAAGCCATAAACATTACTGATGTGGATGCCATAGCACGGCAAGTTGGTGGATGATGATGGATTCCGAGGTACACACACAGTTACATACATTGGTGACCACTGAACTTAGTGAAAATTTCGAAATTTGGCGATTATTATTATTACACGGTAGTTGAGATTCTACAAAAATTGCCACCTCAATAACCTGGGAAGAGAGGATCATTGTGAGGAGATAGTTTAAACTTCTGCAGCTCCTTGAAGGTATCCCTATACAGACAGACCCATCAATTCATTGGGAAGGGATGCACATAAGGCACATATAGGGAAGAGTATGCATGTACCTGTTGAGAACGATGATGTCACCAGACTGAGTTGTAACCAGGAGTACCTCCACGGGCCAGCCCCGCCCCTCGCTCTGAACACCACTCATCTCGTCGAGGACGATGATCTCGTTGTCTGCCGCAGTGTCTTGGGAGCACAGACAGAGAGACGAGGCACATATACTGAGAGAGAGAGAGAGAGGAAAATGAGAGGGAGGGAAGAGAAACAGGGAGAAAGGGAAGAGAGGGAGAAGGGCAGAGAAAAAAGTGATCAAGAAAGATTCACCGGCTGATCTTACCACGAGATGTGACTAGGTGCATGGTAGACCTTCTCCTTCTTGGCTTGGTATGATCCAGACGTGGTGATGTCCTTCACTGACCACTGACACAGCTCAGTGCCTGCACACAACACGCGAGAACTGATCATTCGGACTCTCTATTGCATGGAGAAGAAGTTCACTTCAGTGGGGCTCTAACCATTGTAGCAGGCATGGAGTGTACAGCCGTCTGGTAGAGGCAGCATCACAAGGTGGGATATGGTGTCCACTGATTAAGAAGGGAAAAAAGTGGTTGACTAAAAATTTCAGGAGATTTTGTTGGAGTGTACCGGAGTAGGTAGAGGTTCGGGGTACTCCAGTGGCAAGACTGGAGGAGAGTTTGAACTCTGACCCCCAGCTGAGGCTGAGACTGAGAGAGTAGACCCTCACTTGTCCGTCCTCGCATCCCACTGCACACAGGACTGAGCCATCTGCACAACACACACCTTGAACTACACACCGGCTTCGCCTTGTAAAGACATCTTAGCTGCACGAGACTGAGGCCTTATCATGCAACTTCAAACGTATTGGCATTACATATAGGCAATACATTTTCTTGCTGCTTACTGGGCGTGACAAACGACTTTGCCTGAGTGACTCTCCCCACTTTTCCTTCCAGTTTCGTCTCTGCCTTGTTGGACCCAAAGTTGAGGTTCGTGGTGGTGACCTGGACCTTCCCGTTGCTGTAGACGCATATGAATGCGTTTCCAGTCAGCATCTTGATGAGTGGGCTGAACTGCTGGAACTCCAATGCCTCCGTCCACACCTGCTTACTATGGTTGATGGTAACCTGTAGATATGACACACAGTAGAGAGATATATTATAGACGTACAGTGGAGCCCCTCTCTAAGGACACCACTGATATGAGGATATATACCTCTCTAATAAGGCCCCAAGAACAGTTATTGCATGCTGAAATATGGACAGTTGCTAATACGGACCCTTGTTCTGTCCATTTTGTCTCTAGATTAGAGGGGTTACACTGTATCGAAGGTGATTTGTTCTTGCTCTGACCTTTGGTTTGTATTCGAGCCAGGCTGCATGTATGACAGTCCCAGATGCTGGGTCAGCCTCTTGCTTCTGTGCACAAACCCACGTATTGATGTTCTGTTGCTGTTGAGGGGAGACAAAGTATTGACCACGGCAAGTGATGGAGGGAGGCCTACTGTCATTCTCCATATGTGTATGATGTTGTTCTGGTCCAGTGCCAGGAGTCGAGTCCCGTCCTGACACCACTCCAACTGGTGAACCACACTCCTGCTCTCACACACCCTGGGAACAGGTGAACCCACAGTCTGGGTACGGGGAACGGGAGTATCAACTCACTTGTGGAATATCCAAGGTCTGTCTGGATCAAAGACGGCCAGATAGTTGGTTTTCATCCTGAAATAGGTATATTTTTGCAAAGTCAACGACGTAGGGTGTTGGTGAAACCTTTCTTTATTCTCCGTGACGCTGTCGGGGAGTTCCTCGGACAGACTGACGGCCACCAGGTTCGCTCCTGACCACGTCATGCAGTGGACCCGCCCGTGCGGCAGGAGAGTCGAGTACAGTTCTTCCATGATGCTGCTCCAAAGGGGCGCTCGGTCTGCTCCCTAAATAATGCGCATCATAACTATCTGTGACGTCACGGCTCGCAATGTGGCTACTGCAGAGATGTGGAGTAAGGTTTCTAAAGGCATTAGCTCCCTGCAGGAGGCGACCCTACAGCGTGCATCCACCTGGCAGCGTCATGGAAACACTGTACAATAGAATAAAGGTGCCAATGAAGCCACAGCACTCAGTAATCCTTTTTTTGCTCTTTATCTACCAGCTCACAGGTCCCATCCAAGTGGCCAGCTACATGAAGGAGTGCCTATTACACCCAACAACAGTGAGCTTTGGTTCTGTGGCTCTGATTGAGTTCATGTGTGTCTCATTTCCAGGGGTATTACATGCAGAAGGATGTGTTTGGTGCACGAGGTGACTTCACCACTTCACCTGAAATCAGCCAGGTCTTTGGAGAGGTACATTGGACTCCGAAACCAACCCTCCCTTCATTGCCCTCTCTCTTCTTCTGTCTCAGCTGGTGGGTGTGTGGGTGCTAGCTGACTGGATGGTGGGAGGAGAGCCTCGTGAATGGAGTCTGGTAGAACTTGGTCCGGGGAGAGGAACGCTGACAAAGGACATTCTCAGAGTGTTTGGGCAGTTCCGTCGTGTCCTGGACTCTCTCTCTGTCCATCTCGTCGAGGCCAGTCCTACCATGAGCCACTTGCAAGAGAAAACACTGACAGGTCTCAACGTCCATCTCTGGGGATACCCCTTTAATTATTGATTACTGCAGGAGAGGAAAGGGAGGTGGTGGAGACTGGGCAAAGGGCACTGTTTGAGGAGTCTCCATACAAAACCTGTACACTGGAGTCTGGAGTGCCAGTTCACTGGTATCAGAGATTAGAGGATGTTCCTCTTAGTACGTAGGTCCAATGTACAGCTCTGTAGTAAGCCATAAACTCCAGTTTCTCCATGGGTGTAGGTCACTCTTACATCATTGCACATGAGTTCTTTGATGCTCTGCCGGTCCACCAGTTCCAGGTATCTATGTGCCACTGTGTAGTGTCAGGACAGTGGATTTTTTCACCAGGGAACAGAGGAAGGGTGGAGAGAAGTACTGGTTGATATCGACCCTGAGAAGAGTGACATGTCGCTTCGATTTGTTGTGGCCCCAGGGCCCACCCCAGCCTCTGCTGCCTTCTCCTCTCTCCTGCCTAGTCGGCCAAGTGCCAGTGGAGAGGAGGGGGAGGGAGGAAGAGTGAGGCAAGCAGAGGTGTGTCCTGAAGGGCTGCTAGTTGCAAAGGAGATCGGGAGGAGAGTGGTGGAGCATGGAGGTGCTGCACTGGTAGTGGACTATGGCAGTGAGACTGCCACAAATCACACCCTGCGAGTGGGTGACGCAGACTGACCCCCACCACCCATTTTTGTTTACACTATGGCTGTAGGGCTTCAGGAGCCACCAGCTGCACGACGTACTGACAGATCCCAGCTCTGCAGATCTCACTGCAGACGTTGACTTTGGAGCTCTCAGCAGAGCTAGCCAAGGAGAAGGTAGACGATGCTAACTATGTGTGTGTGTGTGTGTGTGTGTGTGCCAGTCAGTTGTCTGATGTATATAGGGGCTGGATACGCAGGACCAATAACACAGAATGAGTTCCTGCACAAGATGGGGATAAGACAGAGAATGCAGGTTGGCTCAGTTTCGACTGATGACATTGGACCTCAACTGTTTCCTGCTGCAGGTGCTACTAGACAAGGCTAATCTGTCTGAGGCCGAGCAGCTGCTGAGCGGATACGAGATGCTGACCAGTCCGGAGAAGATGGGCGAGCGGTTCAAGTTTCTCACAATCACTTCCTCCCCCTCTCACATCCCCACTCCCTTTGTGGCTGGAGTCGAACCGTTTCCCCCAAGACCCAGAACTAATATATAACAGCACTAACTCTTCCACACTGAGTATGATTTTACTCTCAGCATAGCTTTACATACTGAGATATATACCAGGGTTTACTGCAAATTGCAAATCAGTTGAACACATTAGGTCTGGATTTTTGCACAGCAATTCCTAAAGTGGTATATATATTCTATTATACACACAGAGTCATATGTACAGAGATATGGTTCTATTGGTGAGGAAATGATTGAAATGATTGAAATGATGGGCTAGAAATGGTGGCTGGCAGAGTGCTAGCTAGCTGGTCCAGCCTGCCTTGGAGAAGAATGTCATGAGTCTGGATCGCTGGTCGGAGGAGAGGTGGCGAGGTGGCCTCACTTTCCCCGGGTAACCACTTCTCTTGAGGGCAGAGTTCCTCAGAATGTCTGTCTTGCACGACAGGTACTCTTCTGCTTCAACCCCCACCGACTGAGACAACTAGTGTGAGGAGAGGTGGAGGTGGTGGAGGAGAGGAACATACATAATGTGCAGCTGTTGAGAGCATTTTGCACTGTTAAAGTGTAGAAGGAATTCGTGGGGGGAAAAGAAGCGATACAGAATACAGACCTTTTTCTCAGAAGAGGAGAGGAGAGCCAGATTGGCAGCTGAAGACAAATCTTCCTCTTGTTCTGCTGGCGGATAATGTAGGAAGAGAGCAACACATCCAATGACAGACTCAACAGTGTATCAGTTGCACACACTTACCATCAGAGCTCATATCTCCCTCATCCTACACAGAATGGAAAATTTACAGACGGTTCGATAAAGTATTTGGTTGGTGGGCAAATACCTTTCTCTCTCTCAGCTTTGTCTGCTCTTGTTTCAGTATATCAAACTCGCTGCAGTCTGTGTATATAAATAGCAAGAAGTTTTCACCCTCTCGCTCTCTCTAACGTGTACTCCCGCACCTTCCAGTTTGGTGATTCCATTCCTGCGGTACCGACTCACCTCTGCTATCCTCTGCTTCAACTGCCTCTCCTCTACAAACACACACACACAGATGGCTGATAGTTGTGAACTGAGTGTGGAGGTTCTTTGCATACTCTTGATAGAGGCCATCAGTTGTTCGTACTCCTCAGCTTCCAGCAGCCGCGACACTGTCTTGAACCTGTCCCTCAACTTTCTGAAGCAGAGACACATCCGGCTCGTACGCATTACAACATCAGACAAATCTGACTTACTTGTCTTCCTTGGACAGTTTTCTCTTTATAGCTATGTGTGTACAACAGAGACAACTGATGAGTCCTGTAAGTAATCGTATCAAGCCTACCACTCAATCTCTGCTTCCCAGCGATGAGTCCGTGCTGCTTGGAGATGCTGCAGAGCCAAACACCTAACACAGCTGCTGGGGATCAATATACATTCACTGCACTACCTCTTTCTCTTCTCCCTCTCGACAAGACCCTTGTTGTACATGTCAATGTGGGCCAGCTTTAGCTCCCTCTCCACCTCCTCCTCGTCCGCCCCTATCGTTATCTCGCTAATCACCTCCTCCAGACCATTGTTATACTCCTGTGTGTACACCACCGCACAAGGTTCACATTAACACAGCACAGCTATACTAAGTGTATGTTATAATGCATACCCGCTCAAAGTCGTCTCTGAGGGGCATGTAGCCCAGTTCAAGTTGCTCCGCAGAGTCTAACTTTACTGGAGAGTAGGCGGGAGGCCTGGGAGGGACTATAAGTCAGAGAGTGTAGTGGAGAGTGAGGAGAGAATAGAGACAGTCTCACTTTCTCCTCCTCTGCCTTCCAGAATTGTGGCGTGATGTCTGGTAGGTATGGTCCCTGTGGTAAAGTATATATAGAAGGCGATCTACTACTGCAACTACTGTCGCAGAACCGTCATTAGTTTAAAATGAGAGGGAGAGTCAGGGGTAAGACGGACCCACCTTCTCCAATGACTCCATTGATGTAGATTGCACCATAGTGGTCCCTGCTTTCTACAAGTGGAGTATGGGGATAATAGTGTGTTGGGTGTACTTGTGCTTACCTCTGGCTGTTTTGGTGACCACATGGGCAGCTATATCCTCCCTGCATTAAACACTGTCAACCAGTCTACAGAGTGCAGAAGATGCGAGTTACCAGTTTCCAAAGCCGTCGTGTTCCACTGCATCCAACAGCAAGACCTCCTCTATGGCTCCCCAGTCATCCACTAGCAGCGAGAAACTCCCTTCATCCTACACAATCAGACACCATACTACTCTCACACTACGCCCGACTGACTGACTGTGAAACTAACTATCAGTTGGTAGGGGTGATCTCTCTTGTGGGCACCGGCCACAGCTCCGGCAGCAAAACACTGAAGAGAGAGAGGCGAAGTGTTGGCCACACTCATGGCTCCGAGAACCAAACGTCTAAGTAATCAGTAACTACAACGTGTGCTTCAAATAGAGTTCGAATGTTGGTGTAGGCATGATGTAAGGGGCAGGGACAGTACACGTAAAACAACAGGGTCCAATGGAGCAGTACAAGCTCTCTTACACAGCTGGTTGGTACACACACAAACACACACATACATACATACATTACCTGGAGGCACAGGTCCAGGTCGGGGCACACGGCACATTTCAGTCGGAGTGTGATGTCGCAGCCACAGTAGCCGCAGTGGTAGCGCTGGGTATCGTCTGAAGGGAAGAGAGAGGGCAGAGTAACGTGAACCTTAAGTGATTTACATCGACAAATAATCGACGACTAGAGACGAACAAGCCATAAACAGAGATTTACATACGTACCGTCGGCCATTTTGTCGTCACGTGACTGGACGTTTCCATGACAACAAAAGAGTTTGCAACGAGAGCATGCAATGAGTGCAGGAGCCGAGCCTACAACGCTGCCGGGCATCTCTACGATAAAAACGAGCCTCGTTGAGGTAGCCATGAGCAACACGCCCCGCAGTCCTCCACCCTGCGGCGGTGACGAGTTGCTCGGGGGCTCGGTGGGAGCTGACGCCTGGAGCAAGGCCTCAGGCACTCCTCCAGCTTTGCTCCCTGGCCGCAGAATGTCCCCGCAGCAGGCTGGTGGTGCCTCGCAGAGAGCAGCCACTTCACCGCTCTACCTGCCTCGACCTCCGTCCACTCCTCCTCGCGAGTCCACCACAGGGAAACTGCGGAGGGTAAGAAAAGCGGTAAACCAGTATAAAGCTGTGCTCTGTAGACCAACAGCTTATACTGTGCTATTACTCGCAGAGCCTGGAGTATATTCGCCTCTCCAGGAGCGAGTTGGATGAGAAGGAGCAGACTATTGGTTCGCTGAGGTATAGCTAACTGCACACTCTCTGCAGCATGTGTCAGTATAATAATATCACCACAGATCTGAGAATGTCAAGCTGCAGGCTGCAGTTAGAGAGTTGAAAAACCTGCAACAGAGCTACTCGGCAGTGAGTATATACCCACAGTATTACTGTCGATGGAGGCTGTGTGTAATACAACCTTTCCCTAGTTGCAGTCAGCTTGTTCAGACCTGGCCCAGTGCCTGGGCTGCAGTGTGGAGGGAGTTGCTGCTGAATCTGTGGGAGATATCCTCCACAACCAAGCCACCAGTCTCCTGCAGGACAGACAACATACCCAACAGCAGGTCAGACTGACTCCATTGGTATTGTGCTGTCAGCTACAGATATCATTCTCTGTCTGGAGTAGTTGAAGAGGTTGCAGGATGAGTTGGAGAGGAGCAGGGGTGACACTGCAGCCGCCAGTGTCCAGGTATCCAGTCTGGAGGCTCAGGTCCAGCAGGCCAGGTCAGCTCTGCTCTCAAGGGACTCTGAGCTCCAGAGACTCCAGGCAAGTCAGCTTTTACATAAGTAGAGCAGATCTCTAGGAAACTCTTTCGTACAGTTGTGTAAAATGAATGGAGAACGTATTGTCTTGCTCACAATAAAACATCCACACATTACTCTCTAAGTTGATCGTGTTCCTCTGACTACTGCTGCAGGGAGAGGTGGAGAGGCTGCAAGGGAGTGAGGCAAGGAACAACACGGCTCTACAGAGCCTCAGGCAGCGGCTGACTGAGATGGAGGGAGCCAGGGGAGGGGAGGACTCTCAGCAGAGACTCTCAGAACTACACACTGAGATTGGGAGACTCAGAAAGGCCCTCCATGAAAAGGTGAACGACTTCCAGACGATGGAGAAATGTTACGTACTTCTGCAGGAGGCATCTGAGCAAAGAACACAGAGTGAACTGGAGGCCTGCCAGGCAGAGGTGGAGGAGACGAGACACAGGGTAGCAAATCTGGAGGAAATGGTCAGCACAGGCAATACGTGTGCCTCGTGTTGTCTATGACTCTGCCTCCTACTACTACAGTATGAGGATCTTTGCTTGCAGTTGGCTATTGGACTGCAACTGGGGGAGTCTGCCACGCACGATGTGGACACACTCCTTGCTGAGGCAAGTCCAGTGTACAATGTGTCCACCAGTAGCTGAGTTACATACATTGATCAGGTGGGGAGGCTCGCCCAAGAGAGCCCTCAGCTGAGACTGAGGACTGAGACATTAACTAAAACCCTAAAGACTTGTGAACTGGACTCCAGAGCAAACAGGTATATACGCAAGCACAATACCTAATACCATTAATATGCATGGATACACCCTTTTGAAGAGAGACAATTCTGAGGCTGGTGTCAGAAGTCAAGAAACACGAGAAGCTGGCAGCACAGGTCTCAGACTTGCAGGAGGTATGATTTGTTACCCTCACCTGCTCACAGTGAGGTCTCTACCCTGATCATGACAGGCAAAGATGGAACAGGAGGCTCTATTAGAAAGTCTGGAGAGGGAGAGGAACAGCTACCAGGAGAGGCTGGTGGCTGCCAAAGAGACAATGGCAGCACAAGAAGAGGAACTACAGGCCAAAGAAATCAGGTAGAAGACACCCCTGATACAGCAAGTTAACTACGCAACGAAAATATTCTGTTTTCTCAGGGTACGTGAGCTGGCGTCCAACTGGCATTCCCTCAAGGCCACAGCTGATGCAGAGAGTGAGCTCATTGCTGCAGAACAGCAAAAAGTCAGCTAAGTTTAAAATCACACCTGAAGCTTTCACTGTCTGTATTGTACGTGTAGTACAGAGAGCTCTGCAAGGCAGTTGGCTCACTCGTTGGCTCATCTTCAACTGAAGCAGTTGAACTATTGCAGACCCTGGAGCAGGTGGTCCAGGTACGTAAGCAGCACCAAATTTTGAAAGGAATATTAGTGGTTTTTATGCACTGATGCAAAGGGTGGGCATCAGTTGAGGCAGAGGCTGGAGGTGAGAGATGCAGAGCAGGTGGAGTCAGGGAGGGCCCACGGCTCCCTGCGGATGCAGCTGGCTGAGGTGGAGGCAGAGTTGGAGAGGCAGAGAGGGAGAGTCAAGCAACTGGAAGGAGAGCTGCTGACTCAGACTCTAGCCAAGGAAGGACTGGAGAGGGACATGGAGAAAGAGCAGCAGTTTCACCAGAGGCTGTCAAAAGCTCTGAAATTCGACTCTACAACTGCTCAGGTGGTGACTGGAGACTTTGCCCGTGATGCCATCCTAGTCAGAGCTGAGCAGATGACAAAACACGAGGTACGGTATAACAATTCAGCACTGTAGAATCTCTATTGCTGTCTCAGACTCAGACTCTGGCTGAGAAGCAGTCGGCACTCTACTCGGTCCAACGCCAGCTAAAGACATGTCGACAGACGCTGGGGAGCAAGGAGATGTACCTGGGCCTCCTGCAGAAGAAGGCCAGCAGTCTGGAGGGAAAGTTGCAGGAGATGAGCCAGAGGGAGGCCCACCTCGAGAACATGGCTGGGAAGGTATCCTGTATTATTTGAGCCACTGATTATAGGAGACCCTCCAATCATTAGAGCAAGAGGCTTGAGAAGCAGGTGGAGAGACAGAGAGCAAAAATGGCAGAACAGAACGAAGAGTTAGAGAAGCTGCGAATAGAAAACAATGAGATGTCCTCCCTCAAGGTACTACAGCATTCATACAGCTTGGATCTGTAATGTGACGTGTCCCCCCCAGACTCAGTGTATGGAGCAAGAGAGAGAGGTGGAGAGACTGTTAGTCAGACTGGAGGAGCTGAGCCAGGCCAGGTCAGAGCAGGCACGGCAGCTGGCAGAGGCAAGAGCCAAGGCCCAGAGCTCTGCTGTAGCGGCTGTGGCAGCTAGGGAGAGGAAAGAGGAGACCAGGGAGGCAGAGAAAGAGCAGAGAGAACTTCGAGACCAACTCAGCAAGGCCAGAGACACCGAGATTAAGGTATGACATCATCAACTGAACCTTCATCATAATGACGTGCTGTTTGAACAGTTCAACAAGTTTCAAGAGGCAGTGCAAAGACTGGTGTCTGATGCCAGAGCCGACAGCGGATCAGGAGGAGCAACAGAGGGTGCCCCTAGCAATTACACCCTAATTGCGAGGCTGGAGTTGCTGGTGGCGGAGCACAAGGAGCTCCGTGACACGGTCCAGTGTCTGGGTCCCAGTCTGCAGCAGCTGGAACAGGGGTTCAGGACTGGGTACTCTGACACCATTGCCATCCTGCAAACTAGAGCTTGAAAGGCTCTCTTCGTTTGTTGTTCATTTTTATCATTTCCCCCTGCTTTTTGAATTTCACTCCCAAAAGTTCGATTTTGGTACTGGTTGTTGTACAGTGTGAGAATGTTACATTTCTACACACACCAAAACAATGAGAGTAGGGAGGGAGAGAGAGAGAGAGAATGGTGGTGGTGGTCAGAACAAGTTGAACACACTGGAGTTACTGGCCGGTGCCGTTTGAGTTCTCACAACCCTTGCCTTCTTCTGCGGTGGTTTGAATGAAGATGATGTGGCCTTCTTGGACGGCTGCAAAAATAATACCCAGCATTATGTACCTACTCACACACAAAACATGCATTGCACGAGTAGCATATTATAATAGTAATCACCATGCGTTTGTGGCCGGAAGAAAGTGGAGTTGATTCAGTGGAGGCCTTCTGGAAGACAAATGTCTTGCCAGAGGAGACGTTGGGAGTGGTGGAGGTGAGGGAGGAGAGGCGACGCAGGGTGGCAGAGTTATGACGGAGGAAAGATCCACGCTGCACGGGAGAAGACAGGTGTACACACAGGTTATACAGTACAGTATCATACCCTGGTGCTGTTGGTGGTTGCTCCACTTCCAGCCAACGCTGGGAGCTCACTCCTAGAGTTGCTGGCACTTGGAGCTATGGTAAACAAACACTCCACAACTGAATCAATCTCATCTTGACAGACTAAGTTTAATTTAGCAAACCACAAATTTCGTAAAAAAATACAATGTTATAATGACAGACTAAAACATTTTACAACTCAAAATAACACGATTATGATGTCATGTGACAGTCACATGACTCACTGGAGAGGGTAGAAGTGGTGTCTCGGATGATGTTGAGAATACTCTGACTGTCCTCGTCCAGGAGACCAGTGGAATCCTTCTCCTGGTGAGGGGACAAAGAGGAGAGAAGGTAAGTGTCTTGCAGAATGAGAGATGAAGATCAGAACCCACCCTGCATTTCTTCATGTACTCTTCTCTCTCCAGCCGGTCTCTCCTCCTCAGTGCCTCCATCTGGGTGTCCTCCACCTCCCCCTCCCCCTCCTCCCCTCCACTCTCCTCTTGTCTCTCCTCCGCAAACAGGTCCAGCGAGCCCTCTGACTGGGGCACAAACTTGCGCGACCGGAAAAACCCGTTCTTGAGTGCCAGCCCGTCCTCGTACAAATCTCCCCCTGTAGAGGTTATGAAAACACCACAAAATGAAAGAGAGAAACAGAAAAAGCACAGATTGCTATTTTTTTGTACAATGAAACTAGACAACTAAGTACAGGTGTGAAAGCAGGAAAAGGAGAAGAAACAATCCACAACATGAGGTAGTGACACAGGAGATGGGTGACCTTGCAGGAATCTTTCTTTTAGGTCTTTGAGGTTGGCTCTGTCTTCTGCCATCGTCTCTTTCCTGCCATCAGAACAACAGTCATGTTACTGTAGATCACTTTAATACAAACACACACGCAATAGCCACCAGAGGTCAACATGTTACTGTAGCCCAAACACACACACACACACACACACACAATAGTTCGGATCCTCCTACAGTGCATCACGTCAGGTAGAAATGACAACATAAGCACACTGACCCAGTGTGTGTGTGTGTTAGATTCACAGATGCAAACAACAAACATTATTAGTGACCCAAAGTAAACCATTTGTAGGTCTTCTTAACACAAAATTTGCAATGGCATCGAAATCAGCAAACCATGTGTCAGCAAAGTAAGTGTATGCGTGGCAAAATAAAACAAGGTCCTCACATGTGGGCCTTGTTGACTTGGTTCCAGAGCTCAGAATCGGACAGAGGGAGATCCGATTGGTCCCCCTCGTCCTCGTACTCACTGGCCCCGCCCCCTTCCTCCTCTTCCTCCATGTCACTCCCCACATCCTCACCAGAGAGCTCTGCCTCACTCTCAACAAATTCTGCCAGCCTCTCTCTGTATGCATTTGACACAAGATGTCCACATGAAGTAACTATCTATATACTCAATGTACAGCGAAACCCACAGCAACGAGAACCTTTGCACAATGAGTTTTTGAATTGCAGTTTGATATTGAAATCAATGGCACGGTGTTTATTGTATGAGTCGTGCACACAAAACTGGTGTAAATTTTTCTGCTCACCCTTTGGTTGCCTTGGGTTTGGGTCTGCCTCTCTTTCTCTTACGAGTCAGTTGTGGCATGGTGTCATCCTCCTCCTCGGCGTTCTCTCCCACCAGAGCCAACATGGAGCTGAGTTTCCTCTGCCTCTGGGCCCAGCTCAGCACCTCTCCTCCCTCCCCCTCCTCCCCACTCTCACCGCTGGCCGAGTCAACACCACCACCACACTCACGAACGCCGACACCAAATTTTGTGAAGGGTTCCGAAGTCATCGATTTCTCGGGTCCCTGAGTTGGCGGGAAGGCCCCCGAACACAATCCGAGGACTTCATTCATGTCAGCGGAGTCCAGCGTGCTCCTGTCAGTGGCGGCGGGCTGCGAGGTGACGTTGGTGGACAGGAGGAGTTTGCTGAGACCTCCCCCGCTGGGCCTCTGGGTACCAGGCTGGGTGAAGAACCTCCCTGAACAGAGGGCAAGTAGTTCCTCTGAGTCGACGACGCTGCTGTCCCCGTCCAGACCACCAGAGGTGTCGGCAAGGAGGGAGACTAAACTGCTCTGAGGTCCCTGCTTCTTCTGCTTCAGCAATCTGAGGAAAACGAAACATCAGCTGAATTACACAAGTGAAACTGTATTGCTAATAGCTACACAACAATGACGTGAATTAGAGGGTCAATATTAGTCTTGATGAAAAGCTAAGATGCGAACCCACCCGTTAGCGTCCAGAAACTGAGTCTCCTCGTCGAGAGAGGTGTTCTGTGTCTCTCGGTACCGCTGACTGAACCCCGCCCACTGGGACACACCCCCTTCTCCACCCGGCGGCTCCGAGCCGCACGTGGTGGTGGTGTTGTCGTTCCAGGGCTGGGCAGCGGGGAGGGAGGGGGCCCAGAGATAGCTGTTCTCGAGGCTGTTGTCTCTGTCGGAGTCTGGAATGGCCAGAGTGGGCACTACATCTTCCTCATCGAGATCCTCACTCTGTCCTGGCCTCGAGTCTTCTCCCAGTCTCTCCTCCATACCTATCTCCACCTCCTCTTCTTGTTCCTTCTCCCTCTCCACATCTGGACGTAGACCGACACCAGACAACTCCATATTCCCACTCATTTCCACTGCATCCAGGCCTGACCCTTGTCGTCCATCCACTGGCTCAGATTGATTCTCGTTGCTATCTTCAAACAGGGCGAGAGGTCCCATACTCCCCTCCTCTATACCTCCACTGGGGAGTCGAGATTTCCTGGGTTTATCTGAGACCAGAGCCTTTCTCTTGGGTGGAGAAATCACATCTCCACCTTCTCCCTTCTCTCCCTCTTCATCAGAGTCCAGTAATCTCTGTTTCTTTTTCGACGACCGGTTGGTCAGATGAATCGTCTCGTTGTCGCTGAAACACTCGTCACTTTCACTCTCGTCCCCGCCAGAATACCCATCGTCTTCCTCCTCTCCCCTCCCTCCCTCACTCCTCTCCTCTCCCTTCCCTCCCTCACCCCCCTCTCCACCCACACCCTCCCCAGACTCCCCAACAGTCCCCATCTTCCCCACTCTCTCATCTTCGTCCAGGTCACTGCAGGCGTCGCTCTCTCCCTCCTTCTCCTCAGCTTCGTTCTGGAGGAATTCGTGATCGCTGGTGTCTGGGTCCGTAAACTCAGCCTCTTCCTCGGCCATGTCTTCGTCAGGGAGATCCTCGTTGTAGAATTTCTTGGTTTCCTCCGCAGCTTTTCTCTCTTCCGCCAGACGTTGCGACATCTGTCGTCTCAGTTCACTTCGCCACACCTCCCGAATGGCTCCTGTAATACACATACAACACATAATGCATCAACAGTTTCAATTGGTGCCCACCAGGTCTGTCTTTCAGTTTGGATATGACATCATCGGATATGAGAGGTTTTAGAACCGTGTCTCCTTTCTCTCCCTCTCCCTCCTCTTCCTCTCTCTTCCCGTGCCCCTTGTCAAGATTCTTCCCAATCTGCCGCGCTGTCCCTGTCATCTGCTCCATTAGTTTAAGCTGGAACATTTCTAGTGGAGAGAGATCGCGATTCTCATCAGTTCTCTCCTTCTCCACAATCACAAACTCTTCGACTGAGCTCAGTTTTGGTGCGGGGGGTAGCGAGCTAGAGTCAAGGGGTAGCCTAGTCTTCCTGGGTTTTCCTGGAGGCTCTGCAGTGTCCGTGGAGGGGGTTACTGTGCTCCGGCTGGCCTGCTGCATGTGCTGCCGGGCAAACAGACTGGTGATACTTGTCTGCCTCGGAGGAGGAGGAGGAACAACTTTCGACAGAGGCTGAGAGTCAACTTTCTTCTCTTTCGTCTGCTGTTTTTCTACTGTTTCAACAGCTACAGGAGCGACAGGCTCTCCATTTTCTCTCTCCAGGCTCAGTTCTTCTCTGCCATTTTCAACTGGTTCGCAGTTTTCCACGCCCACCCTCTCTAGTGCATTGGTTGGTGTGTCTGTGTCTTTGCTCTGTCCAGGAGCCTCTGTGATATCTTTATCCAAACCCTGTTCAATGGACGGAGGATGAGAGGGAGAAGAGGGCTCTGTCTCCACCATCACTGGTTCATTCTCTCTGCAGGGTAATGAATAATCACCGAGTTAGTCAGAGGATCAGTCAGCCACACACGTGTGCATGGGATGTGTGCATGGGAAAGATAAGGTTCATTGCCCGCAGTGTCTCTAACAAGGAAAGGCTGCTGAATGTAGCAAAATCGGCAACCATGTATGTTGATTTGGGCTGGCATATCACATTTCCACGCGGAGCAAAACAAGGAATCTTGAGTGTTCACAACTTTCTGTGTAAGGATGGAGCTCAATTTGATACCAATACACAACTACCATGTAAAGAAGGGCATATGCATTGCGTGACATGTTTTCAGTCCATTGGTTAATGGAGAGGAGGCGACAGACTATGGATACTTGATTGGGGAATGGCAGGCATGCACGGTATGCACCATTGGCATTTGGACTGTTTGAAGTGCTTGTGGTGGGAAGCATGCATTGTTTATAATATGAGTGTGGGTGTCTGTGAATGCAGTAGAGAGAGGGCTATAGAGAAGAGAGGAGGGGTTGAAGTTCTAACTTGTTCTGTGTTGGGTCTGACACCGTATTCTCCAGGGAGGGAGGAGGAGTGGGAAGGCAGGAGGTAGCAGATGTTGGAGGTACTCGACCGGAGCACACTGCCGAACCAGTTGCGTTCTGCCTGCTCCTCAACTTGTTCAGAAACCCATCCAGTGATTTGGTCTTTGGCTGGTATTCTGGCAGTCTCACGGCCGACTCTGACAAACACGAGCGCGGGAGAGAGAGAGAGAGAGAGAGAAGTGAGTAGTGATTGATTCATGCTAATGAGGGGGTGCATATCGCACCATTGCAAAGGGCAGAGCTCTTCATAACAGACAATCCATCAATCCCAACATGTGGTACATACACAAGATGGGGATAGAGGGTAGGAGAGAGACAGGGGGGAGTGCTAATCTGCCTATCAAAGAGAGACGCTCTAAAGACTGGTGCCAATGGCCTGTGTGACCCTTACATTAAAGGCCATTAATCTATACACACACGACCAATACTGTGACAAGTATACAGTACAATGCATACCGCGGATGAGTCTCTGGCCTTCACTGTACATTAGACTCAGCTCTGACTTCTTCAGTTTTGCTGGCTAATGAGAAACCACAGGTTTACTGTGGGAGAGACGGATACAACCACTACTGACCTTTTTCTCGCTTTTCCTAGGGTCCTTGTTGCCCGCTGCAGCTGGTTTCTTTCTCTTCCCCTGGGCTGGAGGAGGAGGAGGTGGTGGGGAGCGGTCCTCCTCGCTCTCGCTGTCATCGCCTCCCGCTGCAAACAGGTCCGGGTTCTGCAGCAACTACACGACACAAACCATCCACACCACTTTGACTAATGATTGCTCAGCGAGTATAAAAGACAGTGGGATGGTGCTAGATCTCTTGGCGGCCTGGGTTTAGAGCCTACCTTGGAGAGAGTAGAGTCTGTCGCCATCATCATGACGGTCCAAGTTGGATCCCAGGTTTCCCGCTGAATTTACCCGCGCTGAGATGAACTTCGACCCCGTCCACGCGGAGGCGGGGCTCGTAGCGTTTTGCAATCCAGCCAGCTAATGAGCTGTGCTATGTTGGACTCCGCGCCTTATTATACCGGCCGGGGCGACTCGGAGCCAGTCAGTTGCAAAAAGATTGATTGGTAGAGTGAAGTGAGTTGTGGGAGAGAGAGGCTGATGATGGTAATGGAGGGCGGGTACCCCAGAAATATGTTCGTGGAGCCTGTACAAGAAGAACTGCTGTGCGCACTCTGCGACAAGGTGCTGCGCAGTGCAAAGACGACGCCGTGCGGTCACATCTACTGCAAAGGCTGCGTGGAGAGTTGGGTGGTGGAGCACAGAGCCTGCCCGCGGAACTGCACCGAGGTAGCTGTGAAAAACCTTGCATGGGCGGGTCATATCGATAATGTAGTATCCGGTCTGACAACGCGGTGTAAAAACGTCGGCTCCGGTTGCAAGGTGCAAGTCCCGCTGCGAGAAAAGGCGGCACACGAAGCCAAGTGTCCCCACAGTAAAGAAGGGAATTCCAAAGAAGCACCGCTCCAGACGGGAAACGTGGACGTTGACTGGGAAGAAGAAACCGAGGGTAGCAAAGACAGTGAAATCGAGTCCAAGGAATCGGTGGGGTTCTTTCAGAGAGCTACGAAAATTGTGTTGAGCTTTCGGTCTCGGAACGCTCGAAAGAAATCGTCCGGAATTGCAACCAGCAGCGCTCTTTCAAAATCGACTGAGGAAGGATTAGCAGTGAGTAGTACTAGCTAGCTAGCTGCACGCATTTTATCACAGCATAGCAATATCTGAACTCTCTCTCCTCTTTGCAATGCAGACAGCAGGGGGAATGCTCACCCAGCGAACGTTCAGACTGAAGCGAAACCGGCCCAAGGAACCGCTGGGCCTAGTTCTCCTGTCAGGGGACAAAGTGAGCTGGAAATTAGTTTCAGTGTTGAGCGACCTGGGATTAGGAAATTATTTGTCTGCAGACTAGCGACGGGAGACACAAGAGCTATTTGGTGAAAAAGGTGAACCGAGACACCCTCGGCTGGAGAGCTGGGATATTAGCCGGAGACAGAATCATAAAGGTAAACGTGAGCAGAGGGCCGCGCTGGCTGCGAGCCAAAGCACTTTTCAGCTGTTAGCAGTCCTTGAACACAACAATTAGCTGTTGGTTTGCTGCAGATAATTAACATAATTAGGCGAATTTGGCTATGCAGTCAGTGCCTGGTGAATGAAGGATTAAAAAAAAATTAGCGGACCATGTGTAGGTTTGTGGCTTTACCCACAATTCCTTTGCCACTACTATAGTCTCTCCACCAAAACCAACTCATTTAGTTATGCCAATGAAATTCACAGGCTCTTATAATTGGTCTTGGTATACAAACTTATGTTCAAGAGAATCCAATGTGGGGGTGCCCATCGGAATTTAGCAGTGTGTCTCTTATGTCACTGGGCTCTCAATGCTATATACATACAGGTAGATAATCACGACCTGTGCAAGCTAACACCGCAGGAGAGCGTGGCCAGGATTAAGGAAAAGTCGGTGGTGACGCTAACTCTCCTGAGAGAGACGGGACCCAACAAACACTCTCGGGGTGATCACTTCTCCCACATATACGACGAAATCGACCTCTTCTATACCGACCAGGGGGACCAGTTGTCTCAGCATGCCCTCTCCCAGCCAATGCCGACGCGGTCTTACCACGGACCAGATCTCCCCGTAGTACTTTCTCAGTTTGACGAGAACTATCCGCCCACCCTTCCACCCATGGACTTTGGAAAGTTGAGCCCTTCGGCTCAGCACAAGCTCCAGCTCCAGAGAAACATTGATGAGAAACTCGGACAGCGTAGAAATTTCCGACCGACTTCCCCCGGGGCACACGTGACACATCAGACGTCCCCGAACTACGGTCAGGGAGAACGAACCAGCAAAGACAGTGGGCTCTCCAGTGGCTCCAGCGACTCTCCTAACTCTGGAGGGAAACAGGTGGAGGGAAGACTGGCCGTCCAGCCCAGCTCTCCCTTTTCCTCCTCAGCAGCAACAGCTGCTCTGAGTCCCACAACAGCTCTCGACCTCAATAGAGACACAAACGTGAGGAAATCGTACAGAACCGAGCAGGAGATGGTGAGAAAGTTCATCAAGGAACATAGGAGAAAGCCTCCTTCACCACAGAGCCTTGTGTCTTCAAACCAACCAACCCGGAGTCGAAACTGTCGCATAAATGGAGACTACGAATTAGAGGTAAGACTATCATCTCTTTGGAATGGTGTGGGAGGTGATTCCAGTGTGTATTTTGTTTACTACTCACCTGTTCTTGAAAGGGTTTTGCCTCTGCAAGTATAGCTGCTCAGAAACCCCTTATGGAGTTTGTGTAGATGGAGTGTGTGCCTTGATATGAGAATGGTGTCATGCTATAGCCTCCTCTGCAAGTCAACCGATCTGTCTTTTGTTGTTAGGATATTCATCTCGAGAAGAACGGGACAAGCCAACTGGGAATTACACTCGGTTACGATTCGTCTGCTGCCCATGGAAGCTGTCTGTATGTGTGTGAGGTAAGGGACATAATACTATAGTCATGTGTCCCATATAGAGTGTGCTGCTGGGTAGGTAATAGCATTACTGATTGACATGAGGCGACGGGAACACATTGAGAAGTGGCGTGGGGCCGAAGACTAAGTAAATTGTGTGCGGAAGGGTGGAGTGGGAGCCATTAGCCATGATCAATTGGGCCAGACTAGTTGGTTTCGCTAGAGGTGGCAAGTCCAGTGGGAGACAACACTCCTGGGGATTTGTTTTTCTAGCGAGCACCCCCCTACACACACGTGAGGGATGAGATAGGGATTCTCTCTGCTCTCTATTTCTCTGCCCTCTCTCAGATAGTGGCTGGAGGGCTGGCAGCCCAAGACGGAAGGCTCAGGACAGGAGACATCATTCGGAGGGTGAGCAACACTTACCCCTCAATCTAGATCTTTAATTAGGCACTTTACACGTGACCACGCAATGTGCCAGTTTGAACTATAATAATTATAATAATTCCTGGCAACCTGGGGGTGTATGCGCTGCTAATGGCGTAATCATGACTCAGTTATGTGAAGTATGGAAGTGTTCTCTGAGGCCTGTTTGTACCACAACTGCCTAAACCTGCATGCATGCTACTATAGCTACTATAACAGTAGCGTATCTGGTAAGTGTGTGTAGGGGGCTTATGTGCACTTACACACCCTTGTGGAGTAATTTCAGTACTATAGCCACAGGTATACAGTATCGTAATAGAGAAATTGGTTTTAAGAGTCCCTTTATCAGCAGCTTCCAGAATAGGCAGGTCTTCATTACACGCTTTGTTCGATTCAGAACTGAAGATTCCTTTCCTATATACCACGTTACACGGCATCTCCTTACATAGCCCTGCACGTGAATGAGTTGGGAGTTCCAGTTTGGTGAAAACACTCGGATCTATTTAACGCTCTGGTTCTTCTCCGTACACAGTATAGGGGTGGGGGAGGTAGAGAGCACACGACTACCTTGTACCTGTTGAATGGTCGCGCGCCGTGGCTTGAGGCCATGTGTCGCCGAAATGCTCTTGGGATTTGCCAATTCCAACACCACCAAAACAGAGTTGTATCAAAGACACAAACAGGATATGCATTGCTGAGTCACAGGGGACATGCTAATAGTAATCCTCATTGTAGGAAAGGAGTAGTTTACAACACAGCTAGGCCCTTGTAGGTCCGTATTAGGAACCTGCCTGGTGGCCTGTGGGGAGTAACTTACCTGACAACATGTTTCTTCTCCGCCTCCCAATAAGACTGCGGGATATACACAATGGAGGGTGTACAGGTATACACACATTAGGCAGTAGGTCTATCAACGACCTTGTGTTTAACTAGGAAAGGACAGCTTCATCAGGTCCAGAAAGCATGTACTCTGAGAATGTGTGTGCAGTAGAGAAGAGTATGCATGCGTACTTTAGTTTCGTGGAAAAGTGATCCTGTGCCCCACGCAAACAGAGAACTAACACGAGACAACAGTAAACCCCACTTACTCTCCTGGCATGTCTGGTAGTTCAAATTGTGTAACACAATAGCTAAATACTCTCTCTCTGTGTCCTCAGGTGAATGGGTTCCGCGTGTTTGATCCCGAGGAGGCCATTCTGCTGTTCCTAGAACAGGATCAGGACATCACACTCAGTGTGGCCCGCAAGATCAAGGTGAACAAGTGTTTCAGCAGCTGTTACTTCATTAGGATCACTTAGGGGGGCATTACCCATGTTCCTCCCCCTGTTTCAGTGTAATCCCACATTAGTTTCATAACACTGAATAAACCATGGCCTGTGATACCAATAATCACACGATAATGTTCTATTACTACTCACGTGTGCGTATTCCCAGGTTCGATCAAGACTAAGACCCCAGCCGGAACCAGATCTGGACTACCTGGAATCAACCCTGCTAAGAAATGGACTCGCCATCCGTAAGACTGACAGCTGTGGCTCTCTGGACTCCCACACCCACCACACCCACCACGCCTATGCCATCCTCGAGCCTCCGAGTGAGACTGGGAGCAGCGAGCAGCAGCCCGTGGCTCACCCTCCAAGGGACAAGAGAGCAAGGTCACGTGAGCTCCAGCTGATGGCCACGAGTCACGACAGCATCAATGAATCAACCACGACCACCGCCCGGATGAGACTAATGGCGATGAGCCGAGACAGCATCGACGATTTCTTGTCCACATCTCGTGGCAGAGAGGAGGACCCTTACCGATCACGACGAGGCTCCTCCCCCTCCAACCACACCCCTCTCGGTGGTGGTGGATTACGCCCAATTACAGGGAGCTCCCCGAATCTCCTCCGTGTCCACCATTCACCGCCGGCATTCCACCACCAGATGGCGTCCGGCTCAAACCTACTGGGAGGGCCTCACAGCAGACAGAGAATGGTGATGGATCGACCGTCCAGTACCTCTCCCGACAGCAAGTTCTGGAGCACAACCAGCAGTGGCTCTCGGCCAATCGGCGGAGTCGTTTGTCAGAGAAAGCTCTCCAGTCCGAACCTGTTGGAGGCAGTGGGCTCTCCAACTGGTCGTGAACCCAGGATCATGACACCTCTCTCCCCGACACCCCAGGCCCCGCCCAGTTTCCATGGCATCGCCAAGGAGATACGGAGACTCCCAAACCGTTTTGACGGGCACCTGGAGGTGTGTGCAGCCGGAGGCGTCGAGGGTCGCAGGGAGAGCCTAGTGTGAACCAAAAATTACGCACATTTGTCCGTCACTTCAAGTTTGTCCATAAATTTTTACCACCCAAAGTATGTTTTTTGTTAAATTCACATTGTAAGTCACTCACGTAAAGCACAAATTTTATCGCCCACCAAAATATTTTGTCTTGTTCAAAATTCAAAAAACCTATGATACTTATTATGACAAAATTACAAGAGATGATGTGAACACACAAGCAGCGAACTTTGGAACGAAAGATTTTGTGTTGTGTAATATTACAGCTGTGATGAAAGTTAAGTGAAATGGATCCAGTCTCGATCCCAGGTTCCAAAACATGGGAGCGGGACGAGGCAGTTTAGTACAACAGAGAAGTGGAAACAAAGAAAGAAACGTAAAATCCCGATTGAAAAATAGACAAAGACGCAGATACGTGACACAGGTGTATGGGACAGTTCAGACTGAGACTGACAAGATGAAGGTGTAGGTCAGAGGAGAGAGGCAGGGGTTAGTTAGTGATCATGGGTTCAGGACTCTCTGAAGGACACACCTGCTTCACGTCTGGAGGGAGAAATGGAAGTCAAAGTCAACGTTTTTAGTGGGTGGTATTTTCGCAAATGGCGGCACTGTTGTTGACGTGAATGTGAAGGGGCAGAAATGCCCACAGGATTCAGTGGTGGTGGTGTGTGAAAAACAAACGAAGCCCGAAGTAGGTTTATAGAGGGGGAGATGCCTTAACAACACAACTGGAGGAGTATCACAACCAACTGATCTGTAGGGAATACTAGCAGAGCTGGTGATGAGCCATTGTATATAGCATTGTGAATAGACTTCTTCTGGGATTAACTTGACACAAAATGTGCATGTACAGCTACAAAAATTCAGAGAAGGTTCTCGCAGGTGTGATGGTGGCGAAGTCATTAGGTGGAACAGTCCACATAATGAGGAACAGTCCACAGAATGAGGGAAAGTGAGGATCCTCTAATGGGAACTAAGGCCATCCTGTGAGAAGCCACAGCCATAGGCAACACACTACTGCTTGTGACGTCACTAGTGGGAGGTGGGCAACAGGCCTGCTTGTGCAGTGATTAAGTTAACATTTCCACCAACAGAAGACCGACAACTTGTGTAACTGGATCATACTGAACTCCATTACTGACTGTGGAGAAGCTATTTTAATGCCTCGCAAGAAATGCTAACAAACGACATAAGCAATTAAGGAGGAATGACTAGAATCCGAGACAGCTACCACCACTCATTATAGCTATATACACACGACAAACTCGGCTTATATAATATGGGAAATACGCCCATAGATTGTTTTGATTGTTGTGCATCATTTCACATAAATGTTCATGTTTTTCACATAAATGGTGCTATTTTCTTTTTTGGTCGTACAGCGACAAAAACAATGAAACACGAACACTCATCGAAGTCCATATATTCCTCCACGGCTTGTGGCACCTTCCTAACATGTCCACCAGGGAGCCACCGCACAATCCCCAGACCCAATGGTCTGAGACGGTTGGGCAGTAACTTCACCCTCTCTACCCACAGTATCACATATGTACAGACAGCTCTCTCTACGTACTATGGGATAATGCCGTATATAATGTGTCGCACTCTACTGAGCAGAGATTCTGACAAACACATGAGGTAATCGTAACTGAACTTCGTGTTGTTGACCAAAAGACTACTAGTCCATACTGACCACACAAGTGTACGATAATTATATAGACACTTCCAGCTCGAAAGGAAATAACAGGTAGTGAGATGTAAACAAGTAACAGAGAGCTGTTCTCTGGGTCAACTAGCCAGTGAAGCTTCGTACCAGACCACACATTTAGCTACATCGGCCACACACATACACACACACTCTCGCTGTCAACAGGTAGGTTTGCACTGCACTTCCGACCTAGCTGGAGTAATTTACACAGACCCGCATAGCTGGGAAGGGTGGGTATGCTCCACCAGACACCAGATACAGCAAGACCCCCTCATGCTCTATAATATAGTTGGGATCTCCCATTCTGTAGTAATCTATCTAATAGTCAAGGTAAAGTAAGGGGCTATCTAAACTTATTGTTTATACAGAACATTCCTGCCAGCTACAACAACTTACAAACACCACAAGCTATTCAATCTGTAGCCCCCATCTCCATGTGAAAGTTTGAAGAAGAGATGGGAAAGCTGGGATCAAAGAAAATGAAAGAGTACATACCTCGATTGCCAGGGGTTGCCTCATCCTGACTGGACCTGTCCAACGTAGTTTCACAGGTTTTGGGATTTTGTTCTCCCTCCCCTGCCCCGGACTCAGTGGCCGCTGTTTCCATCACTTCAGACGAGGAAGAAAGAACACCCTCCATCTTCTCCTCCCCTCCCTCACCCTTCACACCCTCCCCACTCTCACTCCCTCTCCCGTCGTCCACCTCCGACACACACTCCCGGGACTTCTTGCTGGTGGGGGACTCGTCGATCACCTGGAATAAGGGGGGCGGGGGGTCAAACGAGGGGGGCTCGAAATTCACGGTCGAGTCTGCCTCCTGGCGAACAGTGATGTGGTACTTGTCTTCATCTTCTTCCAGACTGTCTCTGCTTCTCTTCCGACTGAGGGGTGGCGGTGAACGGGCCCTCCCTGTCTCCACGACTCTGCCATGGCTGCCAGCGATTTCTCCGTTCTTCTCCTCCTCTTCCTCTGCCCCTCCATCTTCTCTCGTGTTGGACCAGGTCGACGTGGGTGCTGTCGGAGGTGAGTCCTTGTCCATGGGGGGCGGGGCTGCAGGGGGGCTGTGGGGGTCCTCCTCTTTTGAAATATCTGTCGTTCCGTTCTCTTTGATTGCATTTTGAGTGAGCTTCTCTTGTGGTACTAGTCTGTAGACACAGTATATTAGTAATGTATGGAGATGTAGTAGGACTTTGTGCTGTAATATTACAGTGGATACCTTGGATTCTTCATCCAATCCAGATCCGGTTCTTGCGTGCCTACCACCAACAGATTCTGTGGAGAGATGCAGTGAACACGTATTTCAATCGCAGTCCACTCGATAGTGTGTGTAGGGAATAGAGGGAATGATGGTTTTACCTTTTCGACTGCTTTGAGGTAGCAGTCCAACTTCTTGTAGTGCTTCTTGGGCTGCAGAATTAGCTCACACAGTCTCTGGACTGTGAACGGAGCACTGCAGAGGAAGTATGGCAGCATTATACAGAGCACTAGATATAGGTTAGCAATGGTTTTAGCGAAGGCTTACTTCTCGAAGTGGTCCAGGTGTTTCAACAGCTGCTGTCTCATTTCCTTGTCCTCCTCCCCCAGCTCACCCTCAGACACAAAGGCAGAGTTGATCTCCTGAACACCACAGAAGACGACGGACACACAGAGAGAGAGAGAGAGAGAGAGAGAGAGAGAGAGAGAGAGAGAGCCAAAAGACTCAGTGTATGGTGAGATCAGAAGAAGAGAGCCACAATACCTGCTCTAGTCTATGGTGAAGCACCGGACAAAAGATGCTCCACTGCATCCTGTATAAGTGTATTTGATTACGTTTTGCAACGTTCTCGCATATTTGGAGATTAAAACGGAACCGCCACCATTCCATGTAAACAACCTCAAAAAACTTTCACTATGCAGAATCAGGGGAAACTTTTCCCTGATATTTTGAAACTTTACTAACTCCCTGTTCCATCAACACCCACCATGCAGTAGAGAACAGTAGTGAGATATACCTGACAGTTCCAGTGATGGCCGTCTCTCCGAGGAGACCCTCCAGCTCACTGGGGTACTCCTGACAACCTCTCCCTACAAATGCTGGCGAAAGATTTGGCACTTGACGCACACTTCATACACACACGTGTGTGTTCGCACATACAGGTTGTTTACAACGGGGCTCTAATTAGAAAGCGCACAAAATACACGAGTTATGACGCGACACATTACGTATAAGCAGAGCCTTTACGGACCTGAACAGCTCGTGTTAGATCTGTAGACGTGTGTAGATGTAGTTAGGAAGTGTTGCCATACCTTCTGCAAGCTCTTTCAACCTGCCGTAGTCCATCTTCGCGCCACGGAAAGGCTTTGTCGCAGCCTATATGGTAGATTTTGTTAGTCAGATGTGACTGCAAGTCTGTCCTCTTGGAGTATGAGAGCAGGTATAGGTATACTACCGATAGGGAGAGAGAGAGGACGGAGAGCTAACACGACGATCGATCGGACGGAATTACGTAATGGAGTAATCACGTGTGCTTAGCGCGCTGCTGCTCAGGACTGCGCTTATGGAATTGGAGCCACGCCTTCTGTTGTCTACTCTGCGCGTGCGCTATAGCTCCGTTCGGCGACACGATGGGGCAAGCACAGGGGAGAGAATTACCGTTCGATATCGGCGATACCCACTCGTGTCTGACAGGGAAGACGGTCTGGACCGCTCACGACGGCAAGAGAAAGGTAGATCACTCCGTACAGTTTCTGGAGGGCTCTAAACACCGAGCCATTGTCCTCGCTCATTGTTCTTCTCCACAGTCTGATGGAGAGCCAGTGACAGTGTTCCTCTACGACTTCACTAGGAAGACAGAGGAGGAGGTGAGAATGGCTCCACCCTCTCCAACTGAGCTCCCATGACCCTCTCCTGCAGATCAAGCTGGTGAGATCGGCTCACCTGCGGCTGAAGACCCTCCGACATCCCAACATCCTCCGATACATTGATGGAGTGGAGGTATTATATGCAGAAAAATGAATCACATAGTGAGCGAATATGATAGAAACAGCAACAGACAGGATATCTAGGTCAGATAATTGTAACAGAATTCACCCCACTAATCTCTCTCTCTCTCAGCTACCAGACAGAGTGTATCTGGTGACAGAGAAGGTGACTCCACTGGAGGAACACCGCAGTACTCCCGATGGTCAGTCTCAGTTCTCCACTGCCTGGGGCCTACATCAGATACTGGTGAGCCTCCAAACACATCAGGCACTCTGCAAACATTCTACACTGCTATATAAAGTGTTTCCAGAGGTGTCTTTTGGCCGGTGCGTAGATTTTTGTAGAAGACTACATTAACAGCTTGGTGTATGATAGAGATATGTCTCACCAAAGAAGGTGTTTTTTCTTTGCTCTCTGCCAGAAAGGACTGGCGTTTCTGTCCAACGACTGTTCCCTGGTCCACCACAATGTCAACATCTCCTCCGTCTTTGTCGACGTGGCAGGGGAGTGGAAACTGGGCGGAGTCGAGTTCATGACGTCGTTCTCCGACTCCTCCTCTTTCGGCACGGCCGGGAAGATCCTCCATGCTCTCCGCAAGTACGACCCTCCGGAGACTGGGAAACCTGCAGCCTCCAGGAACGTGGAGAAATGGTAACATCACAGGGGCCTCTGTACACTCACTGTGTGTGATACTGTGTAGGTCGTCAGACACGTGGGGTCTAGGTTGTCTGCTGTGGGAGCTGTTCAACGGCTCACTAACACAAGTCTCCGCTCTCAGAAATACCTCCAAGGTTAGTGCTCATCTTTCTCCACCCCCCCCTCCTCAATTTCTTCAACTCCTCTTCCTCCTCCTCAGTTGCCCAAGTCCCTGCTGCCTCACTACATGGAGTGTGTGAGTGCCAACCCCAAGTCCCGCCCAAACCCCGCCTCCCTTCTCTCTCGTCTCCGAGAGCACGGGGGATTCCTGGCCACGCCCCTCATCTCCATCGCACTCAGAATTGAAGAGCTCCAGGTACAACTCAACTCAAACGCTTTCCCATTCACACTTAGCTGAACTAGCATCTTCCTTCAGGTTAACTAAGGCCTATCTCTATCTTTAGTGAGAGTGTTTTCTATAGATAATGGAGCCGTCTCAGAGAAACGAGTTCTTCACTGAGTTGAACACGACTCTAGATTCGTTCCCCGAGGCCTTCTCTCGCTGCAAGATACTCCCGCAGCTCATCAACGCGTTCGAGTTTGGAGGGGCGGGGTCGGCAGTCCTGGCCCCTCTCTTCAGACTGGGGAGACTGCTGGACGAGGAGGAGTACCAGCGGCGAATAGTTCCCTGTGTCGTCAAACTGTTCTCTTCCACTGACAGAGCCACTCGACTCAACCTACTCAAACAGGTGTTTCAGACTTTGCTGCATTATTGGCATCAGTGCACTATCTATGGTGCTGCATAGGTATGGTGCTAGTTCAGCATGCCCATACCTTTCGTTTCATACTTAGCATGCTTCTTAGTGCGTTCTCGGAAAAGGTTGTGGTAGTATCTATGGATGATTGTACTTAGTTCTCATTCTATGACTTGCAGTTGGAGAATTTCATTGACAATCTCCAGTCGTCCACAGTGTCCAATCAGATTTTCCCCAACATTGCATCAGGCTTCACTGACACCGTCCCCGCTCTCAGAGAACAGACTGTGAAAGTAAGATGATGTCATTCGCATTGGTCCCCACTAAATGTCAAGGAGAGTGATGATGTAATGTTTTTTTCTCGCCATCCAGTCAATGGTACTAGTGGCTCCCAAATTGAATGATTCAGTAAAGAACGGTGAGCTACTGAAGTATCTAGCCAAGTGTCAGATGGACGAACAGGTATACATTGACCCACTGTGCCTTAGTTTGAGGACTCATTCCCATGTCTCCAGCCTGGAATCAGGACCAACACCACCATCTGTCTCGGCAGAATAGCCTGCCACCTCAACCCCTCTGTGAGTAATGTAATATGCTTTTTTCTGTGTGAACGATTTTTTGTTTGTGATTGTTTTGCTCCAGACGAGACAGAAAGTGCTGGTGTCGGCATTCCTCCGCCCCCTTAAGGACCCGTTCCCTCCGGCACGGTGTGCTGCAATTGGAGCAATAGCCTCCACCCACAGCTACTGCACCACGTCCGACATTGCCTCTCGTCTCCTCCCTGTCCTGTGTGGACTCACGGTTGACAAGGAGAAGACAGTCAGAGATGAGGTAAGCGAGATCGGAGGATAAGATTCACTTTTCTACCGTCTTCTTCCCTATTTCTTGGTGAAGGTGTTCAAGGCCATCAAAACTCTTCTGGGTAAGCTGGAAAAATTTTCAGAGGACCCAGAAGCAGCTGCCAAGCAGGAGAAGCAAGAAGGTGAACAGTGCTCTCTACAGCCGCGAGTTATGCAACTATTGACTGGTGTTGTTTTAGCTGCTGCCACCTCATGGACTGGTTGGGCAGTGAGCTCCCTCACCTCCAAATTCTACAAGTCGGGGGGAAGAACAAGAGGAAGAGGGAGAGGAGAGACGAATGCTGGTGTAACCTCTCAGGCAGAGTCTGGTACAGCTGTGTCCTCTACTACTTCTGGAGGAGCTGTGGAGACTGCCGCACAAGAGATCGGGAGTGGGGGGAAGAGAGAGGGAGGAGGAGAGAGTAAAAATGAAGAGGAAGGCTGGGATGAAGATGAATGGGAGGTAAACTTTTTAATGTGAGGTTTGTATTATGCCGATGATGGTGCTCTATTTATGCAGGATTTCAATATTTCTGGAGAGCAAACATCAGCGACATCATCACATGAACCGGGTATAGGAATGGGACTGGACACAGGTGGAACAGAGGAATGGGAGGATGAGGGATGGGGTACGTTTGAGCCTCTGGAGGAAGTCAAGGACACGCCAAGCAGTGGAGCTGACTTCTTTGACACACTCGGGCAGTCGAAGAAAACGGAACAGGAAGAGGATCTTTTTGAGAGGCTTGGAGTGGGCGCGGCAAGAGGGGGTGGGGTCAAAAAGACCAGCCCACCTCCCGTGTCGTCGAGTCTGTTTGGTGACTCGACTGGGGCAGGGAAAGGAGAGGAGGGAGACTGGGGAGTCTGGGGAAGTGACCTCTCAACTGAAAAGGTGCTGTTAGTTGTCTAGTCCATTTGGCAGTCGGTGTGTGCACGTGTGTTGTAGCAGACATTACTGCTGTGTTGTTGTACACCACAGCCAGAGAGACAGCAACAGGCAAAGACAAAACATGGAGGAGGCCTCAAACTTGGCCAAAAACAAGCCACCAGAGTCACTGCAGGATCATCAACCGCGACCACCGCACCACAAGAACACCCATCTTCTTCATTGTCAGCTGGAGCCACCAGCACTGGATGGGACTTTGATTCTGACTGGAGCTCTTTCGACAGCCCCTCCTCTCAGCTGCAGCAGCAGAGCTCGGAGCGAGCCAGTCGCCAGGAGGAGCTGCAGAGGAAGAGAGAGGAACGTCGCCTACGACAGCGAGAGGCGCGAGAGAAAAGAGCTGCTGGAGTGGGTCGAAGACCTGCCGGACTGGGAGCTGTCAAGAAAGATTAGCTCTTTCTTCTTGTTTTGTATCATCAAAGTCATGAAATGTCGCAATGACATGTGCAACGTGTGCGGCGCGCGCCGCGTGTGGTTTAAAATCCCGCCCCCAAGCAACACATGCCATTTTTTAGGGCACGGAAGAAAGCTACGGCTCTTTTCTTTACCTCTAGCTCTGCTTGCTCTGAAGGGCCATTTAGGGCACTCAAGACGGTAAGAAAGCGGTGGCGTCTGAAACGTCTTTTATATTGCATGCCGTTTCGCGGTCACACAAACTGATGTGTTTCCCTATCTCTCTGCAGTCGTTCCTGCCGCGATATTCTCGCCCGTGGAGCAGGAGTGTGTATGTATTTCTACAAACGGGAAAGTGAGTTCGGCCTCCACTGCTCTTTTCTCTTTCGTAGACAGCCGCGGCTCTGTAGACCGGCCAATGTTCTAGTCCCTTTATCTATGCACATGCCGCTAAACAAACCCCTTCCCTCTTTACTCCAGGCCTGCTACTGCTGGCCAGCATATTGCCTTTATCCGTGGACGAGGACCCCAACACGTCTGCCCCCACCACCTCACCCAATGTCCCTGTGAACTCTCCTCTGGTGCCCGCCGAGAGAAGTTTCCAGGACTACCGTGTTCAGCCGAATCCCGCCAAAACCAGCTGCCACTACTCCCAGTCCCCAGCTGCATGCTCTAGCAGTGCTCGCTGCTCCGTGCATGCCCGCAGAGAGAAAAACCAACAAAAGCTGCAACAAACCTTCTTGCAGAGTATTCTAGTTCCTTGCTGACACTACACACACAGCCATCTGTGAACCCTGGATCGAAATGGCGTACATTAACGTCAAACGCGATGTCACAGATCAGTTTTACCGCTACAAGATGCCCCTCCTCATCGCAAAGGTCAGTCCACTCCACCCTATATGTGGTGTGCTTCCTATTGTTGTGAAGCTTGTGGAACTGTGCCATTTGTGTGTGTGTGTCTGAAATTCTTGTGACTGTGCCAATTGCTGCAGGTGGAAGGCAAAGGCAATGGAATTAAGACAGTAATCGTGAACATGGTGGACGTTGCCAAGGCTCTGTGCAGGCCTCCATCCTGTGAGTCTGCATGCCTAGAGAGCCACACAATGATGCACTGTGGTTGGGTTGTGATGCACGATTTCACAATGAAGTTATTGTTGGTAGGGAGGGGACTATTGTGGGGAATCAGAGCAAGTGTTGAAGCACCCACAACACATGCCCTGCACATGTCTTACTATCTCCTCTCTCTCTTTGCGCTCTGCTCACAGACACGTGCAAGTATTTTGGCTGCGAGCTGGGAGCCCAGACGCAGATGGCCGGCGGTCGCTACATCGTCAACGGAGCCCACGAGGGCACCAAGCTGCAGGAGCTCCTGGACGGGTTCATCAGACGTTTCGTGCTCTGTTCAGAGTGCGACAACCCTGAGACTGACCTGGTGAGCCATTCTCTCATATAATATATCCACCTTGAGAGTATGAGTGTCATTGAGGGTATGAATAATGCTATACAGTTGGCACGTTGGTCATGTGATACTGTCTAATGTGTGTTGTCGTAGATTGTGCAAGCTGGGAAGGGTCGAATTGTGCAGACTTGCAAGGCCTGTGGACACACTGGGCTCGTTGATATGAGGCACAAACTCACCACGTTCATCCTGAAGAACCCCGTGGGTCCAGGCGGCACCATTGTGGAGGAGAATGGAAAATCGTGAGTCACAGCTTACGTTGTTGGTCCCTCGTGTTGTCACCTCTGTCCTGAATACAGCAAGCTCTCTTAGAGTCTTAGTCCTTTGTGTTGTGAGCTCTGTCTTGTCCCAGTCATCACATTGGTTTGTCAGCCCTATAAGAATACCACAATCACTTCAGGCTCCCATCGCAACACTTTAACACCTTGTTTTCACCTGGTCCTTTCTGTCTCTCTCTTGTCTCAGAGGTGGGAAGAAGGGAGGGAAGAAGGCAAGGGCAGGGAAAGGAAAGGGGGGTAAGGAGTCCACCCAGTCGCCCAATCATGACCAGCAGCCACAGCAGGAGGAGGGGTTTGAGGGGCCACCAACTATGGTAAGAGGGGGTGGCTGGGTCTGGCACTAGTGTGATAAGGTGACCTCACTCTTTGACAATGGATACTCTGTGTTTTCCTTCCTGTGTTGTGGGCGGCTCTTCCTGTGATTTCAAACTGTTTATCGCTGGCTCAGAATGGGGGATCGGAGGAGGAGGAGGAATGGAGTGTGGACACGAGCGAGGCGGCCGTCAAGCAGCGAATGGAAAACTTGTCCTCCCAGGCCACCAACCTGGCTCTGACCTCTGACCTCGAGAAGAGCTCCCAGGATCGAGTCAACATGCTCTTTGATTTTGTGAAGGTACAGGTTGTATAAGTGTGTGTTTGCTAGTGTGTTCTAGTGGATGGTTGTGAGGTCTACCAAAGTGTGATTGACTTGAACAATAGCTTACACAGCTACAGCACACAGTGTTAACAACCTTAGCATTCCCTCCCTATTCAGGTAGCTATCTCTCCCATTTGACACTTCTGTCTGTCTCTTGTGCCTGAGCTTGTGTCACTGTGTACTGCATCATGTGATTCACTCTTTTTCTCTCTCTTCTCTCTACCCTCTCTCCTCTCTCTCCCCTCGACCGGCCAGTCTCTCAAAGATGGATCAGGAGGAGCTGAAGGTCTGGTGAGTCAGAAGCAGAAGATCAAGGTCGAGGCAGAGAGGCTGGACGTCGTAGACAAGGCCGCCGGTGTTCTGGCTGAACTGCTGTTTGACGTCAACATTCTTCAGCAGATCAAGGACTATCGCAGCCTCTTCCTTGTGGTATGTAAGAAGTGTCACTGAGGTTTAGAACCATAGGGACGTCACAGGCACTGTGATACAGACATGTGGGCTCTGTGTACATGTTGGTTTGGAATATAATTATACCTACTGATTAGAGCTAATTCCTGTGGGTTTGGACTTTGACCCAATTAGTAGTGGGCCCTGTTGAAAAAGTGAACACTTATCCAAAGGAGCCGCCTCGTTCCCCTTAGCTTACATGCATATGGGAATATACCAATGAACCTGTGTGCCCAAGAGACTGATTTCTCATGTCATGTTCACTATCCTAATTGTGGTGTGTTGAACTTAATCTTGTTACACATCTTGTTTTTGAGGATGCCCCTTTCCTACACCTCTGATGTTTTGGTAATGTTGACTCATTGCACCTCGGACTGTTCCCCCTCACACACACACACACACACACACACACACACACACACACACACAGTTCATAGTTGAGAACCGAAAGGCCCAGAAGTACCTGCTGGGAGTGTTTGAGATGCTGGTGGGAGAGAAGGAGCAGCTGAAGGCAAAGGTACCACACATTCTGAAGGCCTTCTACGACCACGACATAGTGGAGGAAGAGGCTCTATTGGAGTGGGCTGACAAGGTAAGAGAGAGAGGCAGGGAGGGGAGAGGGGAGTGAGGGGTCTGGTGTGTGTGCAGGTGCCCAAGAAGAAGAAGGAGCTGGCCAAGGAGATCCGTGAGAAGGCAGCCCCTCTCCTCAACTGGCTCCGGACGGCCGAGGAAGAGAGCAGCAGTGAAGATGAAGATGATGATGTCGAGGTACATGTGCAATTGAAGTATATACTGAGAGCTATCTTGGTTGTGTCGTCACACTAAAGCTATAATACCTATACCCCTTACTGTTATACTTAGCCCCCTTAGATTTTTAAATCATGTGGATCAAGAGAGGTTTTTTTTTAATAGGTCGAGTATTCCAGCAAGGCCACTGGGGACTCCATCATGACAGCTGAAAGCCAGCCAGCTGAGGTGGAGGAAGGAGAGGCAGGGCCTGATTTTGATATCGATGCCATCTGAGCCTCATGCATGCTCACACCAATGCTCTAGTATATACTGCTGAACGCTTGTGTTACTGACATTGCTAACCCCAATACTTTGCCGAACATTTACTCTTCCCCCTTTATAGACCACTTATATAAGTAGTATATTCATATAGTAGCACTGAAGGAAAACATTTTTGTTATTGCTGTGTCATTATGATCTTTGATGTGATTCATTCACTATGAATGTGTGTGTGAGCGAGCAGAATTGCAATATTATATCACGAGCACTATGTAATATGTTCAGGTCTTGCTAAAGAGCTTAGCCTGGTAGGTCATCTGGTGGAGTTGCAATATCACCCAGTCCAGCCCGGGACCCAAGACTGCTACGGTGAAGTAAAACACTGACAGGCCCAGCATCATCCAGGGATAGGAGGCAATGACATACAACGATAGGACCAAGAAGATGGCCCAGAACACCAGCACCGAGATCAAGGCGAGTTTGATACGAGTTGATCCGGTTTCGTCCAGGTATGGTCGCTGGAACCTCTTCTCTCTGTAGAACTGTTTCAGAGCTTCCTCCTTGTTCTGCCAGCACTGATTCAGCCAGTCTGCCAGCTCCTCCTCTCCCGAGGGTATCTGAGAGTGGGGCACCGTGTCGGCACAGAAATGTATCTCTCTCGGCCACCGTCCTGCCACTATATCACTCTCATTTTCAGGGATACTCCCCACGTATCCTACCGTCACATTGACAATATTCGGAGGGGTCACCCCCTTTCTGAATTCCCTAAGACAGTGTACAAATCCCATCGTGCGTGGATGGAGGACGAAATCGTACTTCTGAAGGCCATTTTCCGCGGCAAACTTGTGGCTCTTGAGTTGAGTGTGTTTGGAGAGGTTGGTTCCCTCGGGGAAGAAGAGGAGCTGGAGTGGGTAGCCACGACTGGAGTAGTAGGCCAGGTTGTCGGAGAGAGTCTTCTTGTCTCTGGACCAGTTCCGTGAGATGAATATGAACAGGCAGGCCTGCATTCCCCACCCTTTAACGGCAGAACAAGCACTAATTGATGGCAAGTTCCACATTTAATGTACAGGAGCTCACCAATGCCGGGTATTTTCTTGAGGGCGTCTTTGAGGACGATCTTGTGTTTTGGAGGAGTGCCCATGCGGATGATGTAGCTCCAAAAGAAGAGCCAGTCAAACCTCGTACGGTGGTTGAGGATGATCAGACATGGGCCCTGGATCTGCTGCAAGTCTCCACATACCCTCACACGAACCCCATACAGTAGCTCTGTGGTAGTAGTGTTCACATAGGTGAGTATGGGAAGATATTTATTGTTATGTATTCCAGGCCCACAGGGTGTTTTGCAAAACCTTTACCTTCACTGAGAACACAGTGTTTTGCAAACATACACACAGTCAAAAAAAACCTTTCATGATGAGTGCTAATCTAGGGGGCATCTGGATGTAGAGACTTACCCAACAGTGCCTGGGAAACGGGGAGGAGAAAGAATAAACATCAGTCTCGAGAAAAAATAATTGTATCCTGCAGGGGAAACTTACTGGACCCAGGTGGTACCAGAGAGCTAGGATATAGTCCACCCAGCGTCTGTAGACGGAGAGGGAGACGGGCAGGAGCAGGAGCAGTGGGGTGACGAACAGGAGCGTGCCGTTGTAGGAGACCAGGAAGAGGACGAGAAAGAAAAACACGCCGCTCACTGACACGCGCATCTCTCCGACCACCCGGCGGGGGCAGTCCCTAATAATTTGACCTCCTCTCTACACGCCCCCGATTTCCGATTTCGAACGGCGCGGAGTATTAGAGCTCGGTTTGTGCTTGGCGCTTGGAGGAAGATCTCTAATTCCCAGCGTGCAAGCTCAGGGACCAATGGATGCAGACGCACCCGTGCCTCTTCCGGACAGCGTGGCTCGCCAGCTGAGCCCGTTTCACCGGCTAATGCGCTCGACCAAGCTAGGTCTGGTCGGATTCCTCCTTGTGGTTTTGGGGTTGGCCGTGAAACCGATGATCTCGGCGGCCCCCCTCCTGCTGTTTCTGGCCTGGATAGGACTGTTCAAAGTCAGGTCCATGCAGCGGTTCTTCGACCTTACCACTGGCTGGTACATGGCAATCATAGTGGTAAGCTAATCACGGACAGGTGTTCGCGGCTTTTGCATGCGCTCGCCTGATCACTCGGAATGGTGCCTTGGCACTGACGTATGCACGCACACTCTCCCCAATAGTGCATGTACTCACATCATCTTGCACTCTCTCTTTCCATATGTGGTTCCCCATGCATTGGATCATCCCTGTCTGGATCATCCCCTGTCTGGATCATCCCCTGTCTGGATCACCAAACATAGCTATGTCTAGGTGTGTTCATTCTCCCAGAGGAATTGCGACATCGCTAGTTGCATTAGCCGTGTTTAGAAGATGTGGTCATTGCATAACTCAGAGCTGCCAAATATCTTTTTACGTTTGCCAGAGCTCTTTTTCGGGATGAGGATCAGAACGTTTGGTCACCGGGAGAAGTTCCGACCGCGCTCCCTGTTCGTAATGAACCACGTCTGCCACTTTGACTGGCTTTACTTCTGGGGAGTCGTGGAGCGCAACGGAAACATTACCACCTGGAAAGTCGTCACAAAGAACTCCATCAAGAAGGTCCCCATTTTAGGTGGGTCCTCCTCCTATTCCTCTCGTGTCACTGAGCATGGAGGGTGGAAACCACGCCAAATGATATTCATGCTGTATAGCTGAGTAAGCCAGCCAGCTTGAGAGTGGGTGGAAGATGTGGCTGTGTATGAATAGAATTTTCTAGAACATTCTGCCTGCTTTTGCTTTTCAGCTATACTAGCTGAAGTGTATACAGTTTCAGTGTTTTGCAGTGTGTATACCTGTTGTTTGTCGTCCTCACTCCAGGGATCTGCTTGCAGTATATGTGCCACATCTTTGTCTCTCGTCACTGGGAAGTCGACGAGCGGGAGTTCAAGAAAAAGTTGTTCTACTACAACGGCCTCGAACTCCCAGTCCAGCTCCTCCTGTTCCCAGAGGGGGGTGACTTCACCGGGAAATCTAAAGCCAAGAGCGACACGTATGCCGACACAAACGGCCTCAAACGATACAAATACTGCCTCCACCCACATGCCAGAGGCTTCCTGTACATCATGGAGGCTCTGCGCAGTGGGAGGCTGGACGCCGTGTACGACATTACAGTCGGCTACCCGGACGCTTTGGCCAAGACCGAGGCAGATCTGGCGAATGGAAAGTACATTCCGAGAGAGATCCATTATAACATTCGTCACTATCGAGCAGAAGATCTACCGACCGATGAGGAGGGGCTGAGTCAGTGGCTGGAGGAGCGCTGGAGGGAGAAGGAGGAGACACTGAAGCTGTTCTATGCTCACAAGCAATTCCTAGTCAAGGGAACTGCTACAGGGAGTGGATTAAGGAATGTGGGAAACGGTCACTCGGAGTACAGACCTGTCCCTGAAGTAGCAATGCCGAAATCCTACTCCTTTACGTTCAAAGGGTTGGCTTTCTATCTCTTCATCACCATCTTCTTCTCCTACCTCTTCTACCTCAACTGGCTGTGGAGATGCTGTGTACTGGTGCTAACAGTCTACACTTTGGTGAAGGGACTCAAGGGGACTGGGATTGATAGTGTATTGCCAGACAAGGTTCACGATGTTATTGAAGCTGCGTACAGAAAGTGTCACAGGGTCAAGTAGATTTATATATTCATTACTTTTTTGACGGTTATGAATGTGCAACGCTGATGCAGAGCGTCCAGTCTAGTCTAGTCATAATTATACTGCCATGTCACGCGCATTGCGCATAATTATTTTAGACTACGTACTGTATAATCGCGGTGCGCACTATAATAGGTTGTCACGAAAGTCGTGTTGTGTAAAAGTTCAGAAACAGTAGTGTTTCTTGGCCTAAATGGCTCTTCAAGTATACAGAGACTCTGACCAGAATGAAACTTATCATTGTGAGTGCTACTAGCTATTTCTGACTCTAGCTATTTTACCTGTGCTTTTGGCTCCTGTCCAGCGTGTAAAGTTCCTGTGCAAGAGATCAGCTACGACAGATCGAAAGAGGAGTTCTGCTGCAATGTCATGATAGACAGCTACTCGTTCCTGAGACGAATCCCATCAGCATCTTCATTTCTGCTTGTGTTGACGACACTAGTGTCTTATGCTGCCAGTTACCTTGGGAAAGAACTTGTCTTTCCTAGGAATAGGAAAGGTACGTCAGCTGTGCCTATGTGCTCTATCTAATGGGATTTAATTTTCCCGCCAAAACGAAAGCTGCGCGCAACCTACTATCTACCCCAAATCCGCCCTTAAGTTTAGAGAGAGTATTTACATTGGCCGTGTTTCAGATAAAAGATGTAGTGAATGATTGAAGGTTCGGAGCGTTATTGAGGGCAAAACACGACAGAAGTGAATGGGTTAACTTAGATACTCTCCTTTGACCCAGTTACTATGATGTCATTGTATCTCGTCCTTTCTAGAAATTCCACACCTCCCCGGCTCCACGCTGACAGTAGAACAGGGCCAGTTATCAGTGCATTCGTCGTCAACCAAATCCAGGAAAGAGAAGGAATCTCCTTCCTCTCGTAGGAGTAACGACTCAAACCACAACGATGAATTTCAGGAACCAACAAATCATCTAGGACCTCCCGAACGACAGTTTTCAAGCCCAAACCCGATGTCCCCCTCCCCACCTCGCAAGCATTCCCAGCAGCAACAAGCACCACTAGGACGAGCATCTTCAAATATTTCCCAGCCCCGCACTAGTCAAGAACAATGTGTCCAGCCCACAGAACATGCGTCAGACATATCCCACAGACCGCGTCCAGTCATACACAGCAGTTCACTGGTCCACACCTCCAGCTCCGACAACCAGCAGGCAGTGATCATCAGCGAACGTCTCCAGTCGTCCTCGACAGCAGTGTCTACTACTGCAGCTGAACCTTTCCTCGGAGAAGACTCTGGGGAGACGATTGAAACGGTGCGAGGAGCAGCGGAGTGTCTCCATGCTCAGGATTTCGGTCAGATGCGCCGACTGCTGAGTGACATCAGAGCAGAGTCAGTTGGCAGCAGTGTGGCACTGGCCGTTCAATTTGGACTCGGGCAGGCAAACTTTAAACTGAAGCAATACTCACAGGCCGAGACTCATTTTTCAGAACTGGAGAACCGGGCCAGGACACTAGGTGAAGAATGGAAAGGTGATCGATCCATTGCAAATTACTATCTAGGAGAAATTTGCTACGTTAGGTCTAAATTTGGTGAAGCAGCCGTTCACTACCGGATGGCACTCAACTCCCACTCCACTGAAGTGAGTGTAGCTAAAATATACAAAATAATTCCTCCATCGCGCTCAGGGCTCTGGTCGAAGCTCGCTGCAGCGCTGAGAAATGGATCAAAGGTCGTGGACGCAATCGCTTCCTATCAAGAAGCTATTGCGTGTGCCTCATCCAAAAAGGACAAGCTAGCGGCCCACACCAGTCTAGGGAACCTCCTACAGAACGCGGGGGAGAACACTCAGGCAGTGGAAGAGTACATCCACTCGATTCGCCTCTCTGAAGATTTAGGTGACAACGTCTCACTTGGCTGGGCTCACGGGAACATTGGAAACGCCTACCTTGGCCTGGGGGCCCGGGACAAAGCAATCCACCATCTCAAAATGGCTCTGGAGTTAACCCTCCAACACGAGCCGACTCCAGCAGCCATCGGACGAGCATACAATAATCTAGGGACGGCCCACCAAGCCCTCAACGAGCTCCAAACTGCACAGGAGTACTACGACCTCGCACTCGCTCAGGCAATCTACGGTTCCGACACCGCCGGACAGGCGAGAGTGTACGGAAATATCGGAAATTTGAAAATGTTGCTGAAACAGTATGACGGATCCATCTCGCACTACACAGAGACACTGAACACCACCAAAGACAAAGCAACTAAAATCACGGCCCACCACAACCGAGGCTGCGCCAACTACGAGAAAGCCGAAAACGAAAAGCGAAAGTATTACGTGACCATCGTTTCATCGCCCGTCAACACCGGAGGGTCTGTTGCTGCAACAGAGAGGGAGGCTGGCAAACAGTTTGCACTGACCTACCACGGGAAAGAGGTGGAGAAGGCTGTTGAGGCACAACACAAGCTACCAGCTCTCCCTCGACATGTCCAGAAATGGTACAAGAGAGCTCTCGAGGACCTAGCCCACGTTGTGAGTCAACACGAGCTGTCATTTGGTAACATCAAGGGTTCGAGGAAGGGACTTACTCTGAGTGTGTCTCTGTTCGAGACAAACGCTCGCACGTTTCACAGACTGCTCGACTGCCACTATAACCTTGGTGAGTGGGAGAGGGCCTTGGAGTACGCTGAGCAGAGCAGGGCTCGGACACTCGGCGAGCTCTTATTGGAGCGAAAGAGGGGCCAGCTGGAGGTTGATCTGGCGACTCCGCTGGATATTGGGCAGATGGAGAGAGTCGTGGGGTCTCAGGCACTGGACGTGGTGGTGGTGTCTTACACTGGGTCTCGTGTCCTCGTGTGGGTCCTGTCGCCTGGAACTGAGAGGGTGGGAGACGAGGGGCAGAGGGAGGTACGGAGAGCCATGTTTCAAGTCGCAGTTGAGGACACCGGGTTTGACGGGAAGAGTCTGGACTACTACCTCCACTACTTGCTCTCCGAGGAGTTAGTGGAGAAGAATGTAGAGATGTATGCCTACAGCGATTACCAAGCGAGTGACTACGTTTCGCCCATTGTTCGCCTCCACAAGTTGTTTGCCGAGCCACTCCTGAGGATCATGTCGTGCCTCCATCCTCCCCAGCGCCCGGGCCAAGTTCGAGACGTGATCTTCATCCCTGATTCATACATCAACGTTCTTCCCCTTGTGGCCCTGTTCAACAAAGCCTCGCAACAGTTCTTGGGCGATAGTTACCGCTTCCGTATCATGCCCTCGCTGCTGAGCATGGGGATTCTTGACCAGATGCCTCCGGTCGAAGTCCACGTCCCTCGAGACGGCAACAAGTTCTGCGTGGTGGGAAACCCAGCAATCCCCACCTTCTCTGTCAAAGGGAAGACATGGAGTCTCGGGAAGCTTCCGTTTGCGACAGAAGAGGCCCAGTGGGTGTCGTATATCCTTGACTGCAAACCCACTCTCCACGAACAGGCGACTAAGTCGGTGGTCATGATGATGGTGGCAGGGGCGCGCATGATTCACATTGCTACCCACGGGAGTGCAGCGTCTGGGTTCCTCGCGTTTGCTTCTCTGGAGGGCACCGGGACCTCGGAGCCGATCGACGAGAAATCGGTGCTCATCTACCCCGAGGACATCGAGAAGATGGCGATCAATCCAGCCCTGGTGGTCCTCAGCAGCTGTGACAGCAGTCGGGGGACAGTCAAGGCAGACGGAGTCCAGGGAATGGCTCGGGCGTTCATCCTTGCAGGGGCCCAGTCGGTGATGACTACTCTCTGGCGTGTCCCCGACGAGAGTGCCGCTGTGTTCATGAAGTTCTTCTACCAATACTTGGTGGATGGTCACCCTTCCACGACGGCTCTTCAGAAGGCGATATTGAGTGTGAGGAGTTTCACCAAGTACTCTGGGTTTGTCCACTGGTCCGGGTACCAGCTGACAGGGAGGGAAGTGAGGGTTGTGGCGGCTGAGGGGGGCGAGGGGGAGAGGAGGGTGAGGGGGGCAGTGGGGGGAGAGGGGCCCACTGTGTTCCCTAGACTGGACGTCATTCAGACTCTGGAGAAGAACATTCTGGAGAGAGCAGGCGGCTCTAACTCCCCACCTACAGATGTTCAGGTAAATACACATCTATAGTTCCTAGACAAACATCCTTGTTTACTTGCAAGACGCTAACGTCATCTATGAAGTCACATGCAAAATTCATACATGTTGAACTGCACTTCCCCAATGACTTTGAACCTGTTGATGCAACCTGGTATTGCACATCCTTATCTCTATGAATGCGTGTGGTATATACACAGGTGGTTCATGGCTCCCATGGTCTCAGTCCTGCTGGTCCAGTGAGGGACTTTGCTCTGCGAAACCACAGCGCCTTTCCAGGAGGAGTGTTCTGGCTGAATGGCCGCTCTGAGTTCCTGAATGGAGCACTAGAACTAGTGAATGCAGTAAGCCCCACCATGTGTTCTTATTGTACTTGGCAAAGGATCAGAGGAAGCATTATATCTGTGTTCACAGACATTATAAGAGTCAATAGACATAACAGTCCTACACGTGGTCATATGTTTGCCAACTGGGTCCTCTGTTGTTTTGGCATTCCTGTGTGACTAAGACCCATCTCTGTGTGATGTGATCATTGCTCGTGATCTCCAGGTGTGTCTGAGACAGGGTTTCACTGAGCAATGTCTGGTGATACTGGACGACGTGAAGTCACTGCCGCAGTCTGCGAGCCTTCGAGAGCTCCTCAAATCTCGCTCCACTGGTATCATCATCATCAGCCACAGCTCACACCCCCCGGAGTCCCTCAAGCAGGAGATCGATCAGCAGCTGATTAGGGGGTGGACCCCAATCTCGATCCAGCCTCTGTCCACAGTTCACACCACTCAGCGGATCGTCCACTCTGTCATGTCTCTCACTCACTTCACTCCCCTCAATAGAGAGCAGAACCTTATTGAGAAGATTGCCAGTCTCACATCAGGCTGTCCTGGACTGGTCACCATTACCAATTCCCTACTACATCGCTGCTTGGAAGAGGCTGGGAGAAACACGGGGAGTTCACAAGCTGATTTCCTCCATGTCTTTGCTTCCAAGGTCAACGTTAACCTTGATCGACCGACACGTGCAGATGCTCCATCTTCCTCTGAGTTGCCAGCTATGAGAGCGAGAGCGGGATCATTCCGGACTAATCGCTACTTATCCGAGCTCATCTCGGCCTTCCAACTGCCTCCCACACACCTGTTTGTCCTCCGAACCCTCTCCGTCTTTTCTCCCCAGCCAGTTCCCCTCTCTCTCGTCGACATCGTCCAGTGCCTCGTCGCAAAGGCAGCTGTCAGTAGTGCCGGTCACAGCAGAGTTGCCCCTAGTTCTATTACCAATCTGTTGTCTACCAAACTCCTTCGCTCCTACCCTTCACCTGTCATTTGCCCTCCGACCAACACTCCTCCTCCTTCTCCTCCTCCTTCTCCGACAACTTCGCAACTTCCTGACAATTATTTATATGTGCCTCAGCTGGTTCAAGACACTCTATGGGAGCACGTGGACGAGAGAGATATTGTATTCACCGTAACAACAGCCTATAGAGCTCTTCTGGAGATGACCAGTCAACCTAGTATCACAGCCAGTGAGGTGTGTTTTGCCACCGGGTTGACCGAGTGCCTCGTTGCCAGGTGTGACTCCAACAGCTGCATCAGTGAGGGAGTGTACAGGGAGATCTTCAAGATGTTCCTCGGCCTCCAGCTGAGGAGTAGTGCAACCTCACAGTCCAATGCACCAGTGTAGAACTACTATCTCTTGCTTTTAGGAATCTATTAACTATTTAGGAATCATTATCTCATTATTATTATTGTTGGAGATGCGCATGCGTATTGGTTGATATATAAACACGTGCGAGTTCGGGGCGTGGCTGCGAGAACAGATCGGCTCTGGCTCCATTACTATCTGCTGGCAACCATAGGCAGCATGTCTAGCAGTGGAGATGCAGTGGTGGTTCAAGGGGACCAGGCTCAAGGAGAGCAAGGCCAAGCCCCTGCAGCCGGGCGTACGTGGTGGCAGTTGCTTCGCTCCGTTCTCTTCCAGATGGTCGTGTTCTACTTCATTATGAACTTCTTCCGTGGACGTCAGCAGCAGGCGCCGCCTGTGAGCCCTGAGGGGCACCACCCTTCTACCGGCACCAACCTCTTTCCCACCGGACAGCAGACGGTGGGTATTATTTAGAATCACCTCGCATTCCGTGCGTGCTCTCTGTGTGGGTGTGGGTGCGAGCTAGCTAGTGTGTGCCCCACCCAAAACTCTATGTATGGCGGATGAGTTATGTTCTGCTCCGTTTAGGGACTCTTTGTGTATCTCACAGAGTGGGAAGAGTTCAACGTGTCCCGAGACCATGCCAGCCTGGTATGGAATGAGGACCTTGTGTACAGCGACTGGAACGGAGGTCCAAATGCCGATGGCAGCTTTGTCTTCTCCTTGAACATCACTGTTCCTGAGGTAAAACCTTTCTGTAGCTGCTAAATCCCATTGCTATTGACCACAAACATTTTCCCCTCATTATTTTCCTGCTATATATATACTGTATGTGTTGGTCCGCAGTCTGTGCAGCAGAATGGAACGTGGTACCTGCACGTCCTCTTGGTGAAGTCTGGGTATCCAGTGGATCCCGAGGACGAGGACTACAGTCCTCAGGCCATCGCCCACACCTCTGGCTGTAAGACACACACACACACACACACACACTACCCCATTATACACCACCCTTTCAACGTGTGTCTTCAATTTCCAGTGTTCAACAAGTACCGGAAGCGTCACGTACACAACACAGTCAACCTCATAACAGGAGAGGCTGACGTCGCTCCGGGCTCCTTGAAGGTCCGTCTTCCACCATCCACCGAGGGAGGAGGCAGAACTAAGTCTCTCTCTCTCTGTCTCTCTCTCTGTTCAGGTTCCTCAAGGTTCCACAGATGTTTCGCCAGAGATTTTGTCTTACTACCATCCAAACCTCACCATCAATGTAGTGGACGACCACACGCGCTGGGTACCGGGCTCCGTTCCTCAGCCTATGGACAAGTGTACGTCAACATTTACACCACACATGTACTTGTCTCTTTCTCTACCACACCAACCATACCAACCATACCAACCATACCAACCACCACTCCAGTACACCACACATGTACGTGTCTCTTTCTCTACCACACCAACCACACCAACTATACCAACTACCACTCCAGTACACCACACATGTACGTGTCTCTTTCTCTACCACACCAACCACACCAACTATACCAACTACCACTCCAGTACAGTATAATACATTATACCGGCTCTTTTTGCTTTTCACTCACTGCTTTGAGACTCATTTGTGAACACAGTTGAATACAGTGTTTGAATAGGAGAACTGCATTCACACATTCAACTCTAGGCCGCGGTATTCAAATGCGTGACATCGCAGAGATCAAAGAAGCATCTTGAAAATGTGTGGCATTTCCTTCTTTCAATGGTGGGACTTCTATTTCTCACGTATTTGGTGATCAAGTATGGGGAAAATTACTCCGCAGTGCCCTGGTTAGTTGGGGGAGAGAGCCGGTAGTAGAACTAACCTTTTGAAGCCACCGATTTCACTAGGAGCTTCCAGTGGAGCTCATCAAAGCGGCTTTGAAGGTTATCTGGGGTGGAATGTTGACCTCACAGCCTCTGTGCATACCAACACCCTCTCTCCTTGCACGCCAGGCACTATAGTGCTACAGTTTAGTGACTGTTTTAGTGGCTCTCGAGTGGAGTGGATCGCTTGGCATGTAAACACGTCTTGCAACTGTCTGCACATTCGGTAAATATAGAAGGAATTCCGACATTCTTACTAGAACCTCCACTATTGGTATTGTACGTATGCGTGGGTCTAGATTGGCGTGGTTGTAAACATTCACTGACTTTCAAGAAAGCCAGGTGTAATATTCTATTCTCCAGTCATAGAGTTTGATATGGAGACGGGAGGCTATTTCCCAATCTTGTACCTCAACGACTACTGGAACCTGGCCCAGGAGTACATGCCTCTCAACGACACCACTCCGTGAGTCCCATTACATCATTTGGGGGCGTGTTGTCATGTGACTCGATGTACAATGGCTAATTCCACTGTTACCATAATCAAATTTTACTCTCTATGATGAACAATGAAGCATGCATTGCCAGAGAATTGCTAGTGGATATAGTTGCTTCAAAATACCTGCATTTGCTAATACTGTGCTAATAAGTACGTCAGCTATTACTTGCTGGTTTTCGCACTACATGGGTTGGACTAGTTGTGTTCTCTCTACTTTTAGTAACGTTTCTAAATTTAGCCCTAATCCTCCTTCTGTTGTTACAGTTGGAAATCAATTTTAATGCCTCGTCGGTGGTCGTAACGCTATAGGAAACAGTAGACCACTTTTCTCTGGACATCCCACCTGGAGTTAACCAGTGGTCGTAACGCTATAGGAAACAGTAGAGTTCCTGACCCGCTTTATTTGGTCGGCCGATAAGCCTATGGAGTTACACATCCCATTGTTGCTGCATGAGGCCTGAAGAGCTAGGCACCTGAGGGCCCACATCCACTATCAATTGATATGTAATCAACCTCTGCTAATAGCGGTAAGAGAGACGCAACCTCCGCATGCTATCAGAGGTTCCTACCTGCTTTGTTAGTGTAGAAACAACCGCAATGTGACTTGAGGAGCTAGGGATGTAGGGTGGAGTGGCTGGCTGGGCCAGTCGCACGTACTGTTACCTGAACCTCTGCCAATAAATATATAGAGTTTCTCATTTCCTGGTTTTGATTGATTTGCCAGTGAGGTGTTGTGTTAGATCATTTTCCTCCCTCTTGTCTCCTGTTTCCCTCTCGTCCTCTTCTCACCTCTCTCTTTGTCCCCCCAGGAACGTGGCCGTCACCCTGTCGTTTGTTCCAATCACAATGTTCAAGTTTAACATGTTTGCAGCCATGTCACGCAACAACCCCTGGTATGGGCTGATGAGTGGAGCTGAGCAGACTGACGAGGAACAAGACAGCATCAAGGTATCCCTTTCCACATAGCAGTCTGTACAATTTGTCTTTGTCTCACCAACTATTAATAAGTCTCCAGACTCCATTCTCCTGGATTGTTTATAGTTTTTGTGTGTTTAGAGGCAGAGAGGTTCTTAAAGCTAACACTCTTCTGCATAATATAACACAACCACTCTCCTGTTGGTGTAGAGTTGATTTTTGTCACCACTGTGAGACTGGTTGCCATGGAAGCCAGGTTCCTGGAATAAAGGGGGGGGGCAGTCCCTGGGTAATCCCCTGTTGATCAGCTACTGTAGCTGGGCCCTCCACAGGCAGTGGGGCCCTGTGGAGTGCTGGTGTTAACTCTGCCACTCCCACACCCCTGCTACTAGCTTCTTATAGGGGCATGGCTAGTCACAGGAATGCATTTCTCGCCTAGCGGAGGTTGTTTACTGGTCAAACCTGTTTTGGTCTCGCATCACACCTGCTTGTCTGGTTCATTCCAATGTCTCATGAATACCCAAACACTGTTTATCATGGGAACCATCATAAATTCCACCATTTGGTCTCTCCCATAACACCAACATACTCCCCCATACAAACTGTGTTAGTTTTCAACACTCCCTCTTGTCCATAGCAAACAATGCTGGACACCAACCCCTACCTGTTGGGTCTGACTGTAGCTGTCAGCATTCTTCACAGCATCTTCGAGTTTCTCGCATTCAAAAACGGTACGTTTTGGGACTCATGAACTCTGTTTTGTACAAGATGTGTGTTTGTACAAACAAGTGTTCAAACCCCCCAACATGGTTCTGTGGCCTCAGTTGCACAATGGCGCCACAGCTGGTCTCCGCCTCTCCCCCAATGCCATTTTTTGTACAAGATGTGTGTTTGTGCAAACAAATTGTCATTGAACACAACTACAGCATGTAGATGCTGTAGTGTTTGTGTTGAATGACATAAGAACAACAAACTCCCACCCTACCTCTCCCTCCATGCAACTCATATTCTTCCAGTCTTTTCCTCCCTCTCCCTGCTCTCTGCCCTGCTAAATTGCACGCAAAAAAGCAAAAACTGCTTGTTTTGGGGGAAAGAAAAGGTGTCCTTGGTACTTTTTCTCTATCCCTCTTTTACTTACCCACTCTCCTCTACCTACCCTCTCTTTCTCGCTCCATCTTTTCTCTTGTCTACAGACGTGCAGTTCTGGAGGAGCAGGAAGACTCTGGAGGGGCTCTCGGTTCGCTCCGTCTTCTTCAATGTGTTCCAGTCTCTGGTGGTCCTCCTCTATATCCTGGACCACGAGACCAACTATGTCATCATCGTCAGCGTCTTTGTAGGTGGGTGGGCCCTGGAATGTACGAGTGGGGGAGGGGAGGTGGGTTTAGGGTAGAGAAGCCACTTTCTATAGCGGCTAATAGGAGAGGGTGACCATCTTCAAAGAGACAATAAGTGTGAGAGGTCATGTGTAGCCCGGGTGATTGGGATATCCAGCTTTAGGAATGTAACATATGCCAGGCTAGAGGGAATTTTAATTTGATGACAAGGCGGAAGACAGGTGTTATGTAGCTCCCCACTTGAAGGTTGGGTACTTTACCTACTTAGCTACACCTGTTGTATTGTTGGGGTAGGTGCTTGCTGTGTGTAGAATGATCGGTCATGTAGTCCTGGGGATAGTCCGTTGTGTCAGCAGAGGTACTGTGTCCTCAGTGACCCCTCCACTGGTAGCTGGTTTCAATGAATAGCGTGCATTCATTTATACACATACATACTGTAGGTGGCAGTTGCAATTCCAGCTCTCTTTGAGAGTAGTCAGGAAGGTATTCCTATACTCCAAACCAGTGAGGTGTGTGAACCAACAGCAGACATGTTGGGAGAGCAGTTGAGAGACTGCAGGCTGGCCTGCTTGTGCTGCTTGTGTGGTCGGTACCAGTGGGGCTTTGTTTAACCACCTATGATGAAATATCTCCCAAGCCTCGTTGTACTACCTATGTGGCATGCTTGGTGGGCTGTTATAGCTTTGTCAGATAATTGTGGGGGGGCAATTGTAGTTTCCTTCAAGGAATTTATCCTTTCTTCACAAACATTCGAACTATTTGCACCTTGGTGAATTCGTTAGTTACTAATAGGGGGTGTTTTAGGCTCTCCTCCCAAGGCAGGTGAACAAGACCAGGTGTAAAAGTTGACTTTTACTGAGCTGATCTGGGGGGTGGCCTGTATTGCGCAAGCCCCATTCAGAGCGTGAGAAAATATGCCAGGAATGTAGTGCTCTGCTGGCAAGAGCTGTGTTGTACGTGCTACTGTGGGAACCTCTCCCTTCCTCCTCCTCCTCCTCTCTCTCTCTCTCTCTATTGTCAGTATATGAGTGCCACATTGTTTCCTGCTGCCTATGAATCTGGTGCCCTTGTGAACACGTACGTCACATGAGAGGCAGTTGAGTCTGCGGTTTTTTATCTGCGGGTGGTCCTAATCCCACTGCAAAACAATTCTCTCCTGCCCCAACACAAGGTATTCCTTGAGGTGTGGGGGTTACCAATGAAAAAAGCAGGATGGAGTAGGGGCTCTTCACAGCTGCTGCAGACTATCGCACCAGCTAACGATGTGAAACATCCTCCATACCTCCTGTGTTCTTACTGGGAACTCCTCCAGTCGGCCAACTGAGGCCTCGACTGGCATCCTCACAGAGGATGTTTGTCTGTGCGTGGGTATCAGGGACAGAGGTATAGCTATGGTAACGAGGCTGCGGTGTTTGCTGTGTCGGTCTTCCTTCATCCTGTGAGGTGCAGGTTATTAAGAAGTCCTACAGTCTGGTGGTCTTCACATGATTGGTGCGCCATTCTCTTTGGTTCAATGGTAATGCTAGTGTCTGGAGGCAGGGAATGTATCCCTCATTGTAGTGTATACCTGAGTAGCACGAGGTTTTGATGGAGTGTTATTAATGACCCTTCATCTGATCATTGTCGGACTGGCTGCCACAGGAATGTGAACAGGCGAGGGAATTGTGAAATTGTGCCGTTGTGCAGTTTGTCATGCACGCAGACTCACTGGCTCGGCACTGTTTAGTGTCAAATTTTACCTGTGTGTTTAGCTAATATGATAGCTGTAAGTGAAGATGGATTTGTTTTCGGTGCTTACCTCCGCTGAGTGTATTGTTGTATTAGGCAGGATTTGGTGTGTGTGTTTGTAGTACATGTGAGAGGCTTGGAACACAGCTTAGACAGAGTGTAGGATGTGTTTACGGCCGACGCTGTTCTCTGAAATCAGAGACTGTCTAATTAATGTGTCTGTCATCTGATAGTGTGGGTTGGGAGTTGAATCTCACACTGGTACATGTATGGAGAGGGGAGTTGGCAAGATGAAGAACTAGGACTTAGCATGCAGGATTCTTGAGCCATTGTGTCAGACTGCCTGGCTACTGTTTAGGATGTCTGTGTGTTTAGTCACGGACAAAACAGCAAGAATGATACTTTTGCAGGCCTTCCTTGCAAGCCGAGTACACATCATTTAGCCTTGTCCCTGTATGTAGACAGTAATATACCCACCTGATATGCATGTCTGTGATGATGGTTGGACCTCTCTGTTCGCAGGTCTGCTGATCGAAGTGTGGAAGGTCACAAAGGTCGTGGAGATCAAGATCGACAGACGGAACATGATAGGAGGGGTTATCCCGCGAATTACCTTCGTCGACCGCCCGTCCTACCAGTCATCGACCAAGAAATATGATATAGTATGTTCGTTTTTGGGGCGTGTATGAGGGGTTGTGGGAACTAGCTTAATGTAATGGTGGTGGTGTGTGCATTTGATGTGGGCAATAGTTGTTTGGACAGAGGTACACTGTGCGCTCTAACAAACGCGACCAAGGACCTCATGTAACATGTGGTTGTGTTTGTTAGAGCGCACAGTGACTGATGACTCCTCCACACAGATGGTGTGTTGTCAACTCTAGTCTATTGTAACACTCCGTGTTGCCTTTTGGGAGAAGTTTTCAGAGTTTTCTCATCCAGTGTGTGTGTGTTTGTTTGTGCGTCTTCATATTGAAAGTGATTCTTAAACACTGCATGTGCATCGTGGCTGTAGTTGCCTTTTCATTAAATGTCTACCTTGTTTCTCTACGTTTCAGTGCCTTGTGTGACTTTGTTCACTAAAGTTCTCAGTTTGGGAGTCCTCCACACAGCTGTTGTGTTTTTTGGCCACTCCAGGATATACATTTGGGACAGTTTTGTAGATGTTAGATCATGTTTGCTGGTACTATACATCCCCTGTTGTTGAAAGTCAAAAACAGAGCTCCTATATACTTCCTGTGAGTATGTACATAAACATGCCGAGTGTTCGATGAGTTACGACACAAGAGCCTTGGACAGTTGGACATATTGTGTGGTTAGTCCAACTGTCCAAGGCTGTCCTATTGTCCCCATATGTACAGGCAAGTTGTCAGTCATTGCCCAAATGTGGCCTCCTCAGTAATGACACGTGCTCCGTCTCCCCCCCACAGATGGCGTTCAAGTATCTCGGCATTGTCCTCTTCCCCCTCTTCATTGGCTACGGGATCTACTCTCTGTTCTATTTAGAGCACAAGGGATGGTACTCATTCGTCCTCAGCATGATGTATGGATTTCTGCTTACATTTGGTACGTATGTATGTAGCTGGAGATGATGAAATAGAAAGTTTTTTTTGAATGTCACTAGCTGTGTTCATAACAAATGGACACCCTCTGCACTTGGTGTCTATGAGTGACCACCTTGCCTTATCCAGCAACAATGTGGCAGTGTGGTGTTATTCATCTAGAATCATTATGGAACCAGGCGTCCAGCCACAAGCTTACCCCCACATACTTACAAAGACTTTCTCACGCTATTGTTCACGGCAATACCAATGTGTATGTTTATCTTTCTGAAATCACAGTGATCTAATTGACACCAGAAAACCCATAGTACAATTGGAACTGTGGATGTTCAATCTCTTCTACTATAATCGGCACACCACTTACTAGTATAGTCCGAGGGAGTGTTACGTAACCTAGTGATTCACTGTTGTGCAGCTGGCAAGTTCCATGCCCTCTCCTCTCCGTATAAGTAATAGCTTACTTAATTACAAGCCCTTTCAATCTTCAAATTGTTTCACACCCGCTGCCTTCGTGTATCTCTCTCTGTTATACATATAATATACACCCACCACAGGGTTCATTACCATGACTCCCCAGCTGTTCATCAACTACAAGCTCAAGTCAGTGGCCCACTTGCCCTGGAGAATGCTCACCTACAAGGCCCTCAACACATTCATCGACGACATGTTTGCCTTTGTCATAAAGATGCCAACTATGTATAGGATTGGCTGTTTCCGTGACGGTTAGTACACAATTATGGTAACCATGCACTATTATGGAGCAATGAAATTTCACACCTAATGATTTTGCACAATCCCTTGACCTTACACAAGTCTGCATGTGCATACAGTATTTTATGGAAATAAAAAAGTTTTTACGGTGTTTTTTAGCAACTTGTGTATACTGTGTAAGTAGCTCTCGTCTCTACTGCCCTGACCCTCTCTCCATAGACATCGTGTTCTTCATATTCCTCTACCAGAGGTGGATCTACAGAGTTGATCCCAAGAGGGTTAATGAGTTTGGGACCTCTGGAGAGGACTCTCATGGTGCCCCCGTGGGCGGTGAAGAGAGAGAAAATGGACCCAGCCCGCCTAGAATTGACCCTAGCAACAAGAAAACTGATTAATTTGTGAGCGCGCGCTCGCACTGTATACACATACGATACCTCTACGATAATTATGACGACGTCAGACGACGCGCGTGGTGCATGCGAAAGGGCTATAAAACGCGGAGCGTTCGTTGGTGTACGGTCAGTTCGGTTGTTTGCCCGCCCCTCCTTTATTTCTTATGGCTGGTAGCTAGAATCACTTAGGTAGACTTACATTGCGGGGCAGTCAACAACACCATGTCTGGTAGCAATCGCTCGATCTCGCGATCGTTTTATAGCGACGGCGAGGACGAAGATCGCGGCGGTACTGCTGCTGGGGACGGGCTGGATCGTACTGTGAGTTGCGAAAACCTATTCTGCCCCCAACAGCCCGGTGCGTTTTATGCGCCATCTGTGTAGACTCCACGTTGATCCTTACCGCGTACAGTGGCGTCTCCGTCTTGGGGGCGGCGGCACCGGGGCAGACCGCAATCACCCGCTTTGCGGCGTGTGAAGTGCGGAGCAACCAGCCATTCCACTGACAATATCTACCAATTGCACGGAGCTGAATGTAAGTAATTGCCGTTTTTAGTGATTCCTGACGGAATGCTGGGATCTATATCTACAGTACCACGTTCAAGGTTCGTGCGGATTCGCGAGCAAAGACCAGTCAAGAGCAGCGGACTTCGTCGTGCGTACACGCGCTCTCTTGATGGTCTTGACTCAGTGAATGACTCCCCTGACAACATGGAGAGTGACTTGGAAAGTACTGGTGATGAGGTGAGGTAACACTATATGGACCACCATATGTAGTGCACAATTAGGAATACCAAACTAGGGATCTAATCTATGGCCTTGTCAGATGTATGAATTCCCAAAAACGCCTTGGAGCCTTAGGAGGAAAGGTCCTAGAAAATGCACTGACAGTGCACATAGTTATCCCTAACTTGGTGTTATCAGCTGAGTATATAGGGAAACCTCTTTCCTTTACAGTTGGAGGAAGATCCTTCTCAGCAAACGAAGAAACACGCATTTGGACCAATTGAGGTAAAAACCTGTGTATACATGCAATAATGCAGAGAGCTGTCCTCTTTCCATCCCAGTGATGTAGCAACCACGGGGCTCTGGGGGCTGGCGCCCCCCCCCCCTATATTTTCTTGGGCTCGCGCATAGAAAATCAGTGGGTGTGGCAGCACCTATGTGTTTTTTACGCATGCGTGTGGAGCCCCCCTTTGTCCAAAAATCTTCCTACGCTAATGTGATACCCACATCTCTATAACAGCTGGTCATTGGTCTGGTCACGTGCAAGTGTATCTCCCCAGAGACCTGCACTCACCCCAACTATTGGAGAGGATTGATCACCAGAGACTGGAGCATGAGGTGCAGTTGACGTAGATTTTTGCCATGTGATAATTATTCTGAGGGTTTTCCAAAAGGTTATTTCATGATGAGAACAGAGAGAGGAAGATCAACTTCCCACCAAGCAGCAATCCGCTGTAAGCTGTGTGCATCACTTTTAATACCGTTTGTTAACCGTACTTCCTCTGCTCCCTGTGTATATACAGGTCTGAGGAAACAATGGAGAGAGTGAAGAAAATGGTTCCTGTGAAAACAGTTTTCAATGAGCTTTGAGAAGAGCAACTAGAGCACTTGATACGTACTAACTGATATTCAGTTCTTATCTACAACTCTTTGTTGTGTACAAGTGTTTTCCATGAAAAATGACTGGTTCATGCGTGAGCGAATTGTGCGCATGCGCCCACTGACAGAATGGTCACGAGGCTCTAGCTAGCTATAACTAATAAGCCGGCCATAGCCGAGCGCTCGTGTTTTCTGCTGGGTAGTGTAGTAAGTACCGAGTAGTACTGGTGCCCAGTTGCTTCCATCAGTCACAATGACAGATCAAGAACCGGCGGAGGAGAAGAGAAAGAAAGCGCAATCCCCGGACGACGGTCTTGGGGCCGCGGGAGGCGGCGGGGGTCGGTCCTCGCTCGCACTGCCCGGCGCTTCCTCTGCTCCTTCCTCCCCTTCGCACTCGTCCTCCTCCTGGACGAGAGCAAAGGGAAACGAGCAGCAGTTCGAAGGGGACAGCCGCGGTAGGTTGTTTGATCAGTCAGCAAACACAGTTTCCTTTTATGTGGCTGCACAGCTGTTCACACCTCTTTCTCTACAGTGGGTGTCGCCGAGGAACGTAGGAGACCAAGTCCACACGCTCATCTAGTTGATCCGCCTATCCCGAGCGACTGTTCGGCGGAGAATGACTCTGAATGGGAGTGCGAAAAACCTGTGGACAGCCACCCTGGCCCGGTCGCGGTAAGCGTGGCTCCGTTCAGGGGCTTCCCCCTTGTATGGCACAAGTCAGGTTTTTCAGCGTTTATGGGAGCTTTTCGCTTGGCCCTTCAGTCCTGTAGGGCTAAATTGCATTTTTGATGGGCGCACATGTAGTTAATCCAATTTTTACACGACCAATCTCATCTTATAGTACGTACGTAGCTACCGGATATGAAGTGCTCAGAAACACGTGAAACAGAACATCAGTCTAGCATTATACATGGTCCGTATGCTGCCACATCCTATTGTATACTGTCTGAGTGACTGCTGTACATGTAGGAGCAGCAAGATGTGGTGAAGAGTGAAATGGTCGGAAGTGCTGCAGATGATCAGCAGGTATGAATGGGACCTTGTGTGTTGACACGCCAATCTAGTCCCTTGTTTACTCCATCTTGTCAGGAAGTGGTTCAGCCACCTCAACCTGCCTTTCTACACCCAGTCCCCATTTCAGCCTCTCTTGACCAACATGGTGACGCTGCCGAGGTATGTGTATCATGCACCCATGATTAGCACACACACTTAACGACTTAGTGCACACACACATGAGGGCTCTCTACTATCTCTGCCTGCAGCTGGTGTTGGGGTGTCGGTGTACCTGTGAGGAGACGGGGAAGACATGCCACCACACCATATACTGGAGGGGAACCCACGTTATCAGTGGAGACCAACACAAGTAATGTCAGCTTTCATGTGTATATATATATAGCTGTGCGTATGTGTATAAACCAATTGTGTTCGTGGCCACACTACAGCAGTAAACGCAGTGAATTGTGAAAGTTAGAGCTCATGTGTGTAGGTTGGAGCTGCAGAATAAGGCTGGGGTTTGTGTGACCTACCCTCTGCCACTCCACTCCTACTGCAGGTGAATTGAACCAAACTCAGATGTACCCCTGAGTTAAGTTTCTTCCTTTTTGATAATCATAGATGCAAGTAAAGGACCTATTCTGTGGGGTTCCTGGGACTTACTACATGTTAGTGATTCTGTTGAAATGAGCCTGCAGTTTACAGCAGCAGTCCTACATCTTCCGGAGGTGTGTCTCGTCTCAAACTGGCTCTTCGTTCTGAAGGGTGTGGACTTGGACTAAGAAACTATAGATTTTGTTCATTGTGCATGAAATGATACGTGTAAATGCAGTTTTATATACTGAGTGACGTACGTTGCATGGTGTTTGACATGCGCATGCGCATTCACAAAACCGTTGACGTCATTGTTCTATTTTTATGCTTAGTATAGTGCGCGTGTATATAGTCCGCCGGCGCGTCATATAATAGCCTCACCCCTAACTGCTGAAAGTCTCTGAACGTCTCTGAACGACTCACCGATCGCTCTTGGGCTCCGCTGCACACAGGTGTATGTTTCCCGCGTCGAATGTCGAACCAGGGACTCAGCCAAGTAGTACAGCCAAGCCAAGTTCCAGAGGTAGGGGGCTTGGGTGGCCGGGAGGTTGCCGCTGCTCGTGCGGCAGTACACGGCTCCTCCACGGCCACCCCGGGCCCCCGGAGTCTCAGTAGCGACCTACTTTCCTCTTCAGTTCCAGGTGAGACGACATGATGTAGTGTGCGCCAGCTAGGTATGTGCGTGAACGTAACCGCGTCTCCTCCCCTTTCCCTACAGACCCCGTACACAAGCTGTTTCCTGACGAACAAAAAGCCGCACCTCTAGTGGAGGACTTTCCTACTGGTACACTGGGCGAGAGCCAGGAGAAGGAAGACATATTCTCGCGCAGTGTCACAGTGACCAAGCCAGATGGAATGGGAGCCGTAAGTTTTAGTGCACAGCTACTTTTTTGTTGACTATCTACCCATTTTGTAGGTAGTTCTAAGGACTGACTGGATTGTCGAAACTCTCGACGGAGGAACAAGACTTTCATACTTGAATGAAAGGCGAGTTCCCCATTTGCCGGACTTTGCTGACTCATTGCGGTGTGTTCATTATCTACAGAAACGTCGCCCTTTTGAGGGTCGCTACTGGGCTGCCTCTGCCAAAGGCTGGAGAAGCTCTGGTGTAGAACACCACTTATTTCTCTGGTGTGTCTCCACACCTCTCACTACACATAACATACCATCTCATATGAGATACAGTAAATAACCCTTTGCACACCCTCTGCTATTTTATGCAGACATCTTTATATTTTGCTGTATGCATCTTTGCTGTTTTGTACTAACGCTTCACCATTTAACAGTTTATACTCAAATGTGTATTATTAATTTGTGAGAATGTTGGTTGTGGTCAATGTCTCTTGAACGGCAGCTGTCTTCTGTCCCTCTGAGCGTTCTTCTTCCTCTTCCTGGCCAGGTACTTCTCTAGCCTCCCACTCTCCTTCAACTGCTTGTACCGCTTTGCCAGTTCCAGCTGCCTTCGTATCGCTGAGATTGACAGAACGGAACATTGCGTCATACTAGTAGTAGTTTATACACAACCAGAATCTCTATTCACAAATTGTTGGTCTTGGTGTGATATGCACACTGCATGCAGCTGTGTTGGCCCACAACAGATACCCTGTCTGGCTCACATTTCTTGAGGAAGAAAGGCTTCTTTCCTTCTTTCTGCAGCTGTGTCTCTGCCTTCCTCTGCTCCCTCTCGGAACCCTTCTTCTCCTCCTTCCCTTTCTCTGCCAACTTCTGGCTGTCCTGCACGCACAAACAAACACACATACTCACAACAAACAAACTCACATAATTTAGACAGGAAATACTCAATTCCCAAGGGGCTACATAAAGCTGTAAACAACGACGACATCCAATAAAAATGTGTGCATACAGAATCCAGTAAACCTCAGCACATGCTACCTTAGAAAATGTATGCTGGCACAAGAAGAATGACGATGCAAAACGTATGCACTTTGCTAGGAGCCCTGTGAAAGCTTATTACCATATTCTGTATGAGTCTGTGGAGTTGGCTCCTCCTCTCGGGGTCTCTGGTCTTTCTCATCTCTTTCTCGGCCATCTGTCTCTCTCCCTCCTTCATCCCGTCCAGGAACGAGTAGGCTTTCTTGAACATTGTCTCGTTGAACTTCCCAGACCTCTGCCCGAACCTGGGGTCCCTCGCTGCTCGTTTCAGCACCGGTACCACATGTCTGAACCTCGACACTGGTCTGTGGGATGGCATCTCTCGAGGCCTGGCACACAGCAACAAGGCAGGAAGCAAGGAAAAGGTTTTATAGCTAGAGTAGAGTCTTATTACTGGAAAGACAGAAAGTATTAGCATTACTTGTTTTTGTTGTCTCTTTTGAATTTCCTCTTTTTCTGAGTCTTTTTCTCCACATCTTCTCTCAGAGCAGAGTCAAACCTATGGCACACACCCAGTGCTGCAACATGTCCTCTCTTGATTACACATGGACTCACTTTTTCATGCCAACCTTCTCCCTCAGCATCTGCAACTGGCCCAGGGGAATGTCCAGCAGCTCTACAAGAGAGAACTAGCTGGATCGCAGAGTTATTTCACCTTCTCGTACCTTGTCTGATATGTTCTTGTTCCTCTACTTCACTGGCATCCTCCATCTCTTCATCGCTACCTCCTGAACTGGCCACACTACTGGACTCTGAGTCAGGCATACCAAGCACACACACGTGGGTAGCGGGCGTTATTTAGAATCCACAACATGACCAAGCAACCAGCTGAGGACCTGTTCAAGGAGACGTTCAAGCGATACAAGAAGAAGAATGCAGACCTCAGTGATACCATAGATCTCTCCAGACCGACACCGGTCGGCCCTGAGGTGAGTGAGCCTACAAACTCTGCAGAGTGTTCATTTTAGCTAATGCACAGTAGCTCATTAGGCTGCAAGACCCTGTTATTAGCAGCACTGATGAAGCCGCTCGACTAGGCCTCGTTCCTACTGACCAGTGGAAAATCTACTCGCTACCAACAACTCCAGGTTTACTTGATATCTCTCACAAAACAAGATAAAGGAGCTGTCTCTTGTTGTAGGTTTGTTGGTGATTCCAAACCCATTTAGAGAGGGCTGCCAGCACTACTGGGTTAGGAAGTGCCTGGTAGACTATCCCTGTCTGCCTAATGTCTGCAATCTCGACACCCACGTGGGGAGGGAGGGAACGGGGCAGGTGTGGCCACATGGACGAGGGGAAGGGAGAGAGGAGGACCTCCTGTACAAACTGAGGTGGACCACTCTGGGTTACCACTACGACTGGAACACCAAGCAGTACTATGAAGACCGCAAGTCACCGTTTCCTCTGGACCTTGCACAGCTCTCTTCCTTCATCTTGAGAGTTGCAGGATTCCCGGGGTATGTATGTGGACAGCACTTGTTTGTATGAAACAACGTGTTTCTGTCAGTTTCTTGGCAGAGGCAGGGATTGTCAACTACTACCATCTGGACTCCACTCTCTCAGGTCACACTGACCACTCTGAGAGAGACCTCTCTCATCCACTACTCTCCATCAGGTATGAGGGTATGTATATAGCATTCACAGCTTCATGTCCTTACTTTGAGTGTGCTTTCCATGAGTTCAGTGAAAAGCTGCTCTATAATTATGAAATGTACACTTGCTGCAGTTTTGGTCAGTCTGCTGTGTTTCTGGTTGGAGGAGAAACAAAGTCAGTCCTGCCACAGGCAATCACTCTGCGCAGTGGTGACGTGGTCGTTATGTCAGGGGCCTCCCGGCTGGCATACCACGGAGTCCCCAAGATCATCTCCCCACCTCCCACCACCCCTGTTCCCCCAGCTCTTCGCAGAGTCTCTCTACAGGACTACCTGCACAGCCGTGGAGGCACTTTGCAACCATGTAGACTAGCATCATCTGGGCCACTCTGCCACGCGTGTCAGAGAAAGCAAGAGGATAAGTCTTTTGAACAAACTCCAGCAGACAGTGATAGTGACTCTCCAATAGAGATCCTTCCAACTGCAAAGAGATTGAAGATTCAGGAGGAGGGAGGGGAGAGGTCTGGGATGGAGGATTGGTGTCAGCAATGGAGTGACATACAGAGGGAATGGGCAGAGTTTGAGAGGTACATTTCAACATCAAGAATCAACGTCAACATTAGACAGGTTAATACAGTGGATCACAAACAGACTACAGAATAAGGTGTTTCTGATCAATATGATATAGGGAAAAATACCACGAGTCTCTGTAGAAGGATATATTATATAGACACATACAGAGGTGGGGTGTGGGACTAAAACATGAATAATGCAAGACATGGAACGGTTGGTGGAGTGATTGGGTCACTCCACAGCCAGTTCAAACTCTTCGATTTCACTGAACTGAGCGTTGAGCTGTGTCGCCCAGCGATCTTGGCCAGTGTTGCTCTGCAGAAGAAGTAATACACATCCTGATTCCTTGTCTCATGACACCTGAGACCTCCCACTCACCTTCCTCCTCCGTGCTGCCGGTCTTCTCGGTGTCTTCTTCTTGAGCGGGATGTCATACGTACCCCTCAGCCGAGAGTAAGGTGAGGGTTTGGCAGCCTTCCCACCTCCCTCCTCCTCTTCCTCGGGACTCAGTCGTTTCGACAGAGAGGGGACCCTCCAAGCTGGTGTGGTGGTCACAGGAGACAAGGTCAGTGGAGAATCGAGGCTCTCGAAGCCGAAAAGGTTCCTGTCCTTAGCTGGAGTGGAGTGGTGGGCGAGAGGCCTGGGAACCTTGAATGCTGGGCTGGAGCCTTGCTGGGACTGCTTCTGTAGCTTTGTCCTTTTCTTTGGCAAGATTTTCGACGTCATCTTGTTCTCTTTCTCTTCTGACTCACCCCGAGTCTCGGGTTCAATGGGTGAAATCTCTGCAGAGTCTTCAACTCTGATGATGTCCAACGAGTCAGATGTTTCCTCCGTTAGTTTTACCTGAACAGGGACGAAGGAGGTTGATAACTCACTAAGACGAGGGATGAGGGGTGGCTATATCTCACCTGATACTTTTGAGCTAAAAGAGCGATTGTTTCTCGCGCTTGTCTCTCCTCCTCGTCCATGCTGGCGTTGCTCGTCGCTGCGACTGCTTCTCCGTCTTCACTTTTCTCTCCATTGTCTTCTGAAGGGGCACTCTCCTTAGTCTCTGCAGGGGGAGGCAGTTTGGGGCCGCGCCTGCCCTTCCTCTTTCGCAGTGGCATCTCTCCGCCGAATTGCCGCCTTGCACGCTCAGCAAATATTCTAATTGGTGCCCACCATGGGAAAGTTGCGAGTTCTGTGCATCCACGGCTACAGGCAGAACGAGGCGAGCTTCAGGGAACGAACTGGGGCACTCAGAAAGCTTCTGAAGAAGCAGGTGGACTTTTTCTTTCTCTCTGCGCCTCACGTGATCCCGGAGCCGGTCAACTTGGCGCGTCCTGAGGAAGAGCAGGAGAGAGGCTGGTGGTTCTCGAAGCCAGAGCGCAGCTACTACGCTCTGGAGAGGACAGACTGTTGCTTGGGCTTCCAGGCTTCGGTGGGCGTTATTCGGAAAGCCTTCGAGGAGCAAGGCCCGTTCGACGGAGTATTAGGATTCAGCCAGGGTGCTGCATTTGTCCCCCTCCTGGGGGTCCTCAAACAAAGGGAACCGGCAGGTCCCTTACAGTTCAGATTTGTCATTCTGGTGGCTGCATTCAAGTCTCTAGTGTCGCCTCACTCAGAGTACTACGATGGAGCTCTACTGGACGTGCCATCATTTCACGTGATAGGTGCCAGTGATGCTGTGATACCAGCCTCAGTCAGTGAGGAGCTGGCTGCATGCTGTTCCATGGCAACCGTCTACAGACACGATGGAGGTCACTACATCCCAGCCTCGGGCCAGCTGAGAGCTGCACTGATCGACTTTCTAACTCCATTCTCTACCTCTTGAATTATTGGTAACTTTCTCACTTCTCTCTCGTGTTCTTTGCAAACTCTAGTTTTTCTAATTGAGGACAATCTGTGTGCCTGCGCCAAGTTTAACACCACATCATGTTTTCAAAAATAACAAGTAGATATAAACAATGTATGGTATAATGGGCTCAGTATAACAGGGGAATGTGGCTCAGAACCAAATCTCTGAGCAAAAAAACACAAGAAAAGGGGGGAAATCAATACTCACTATGCTAATCAACCAGTTCAATCAGAGCGGACTCCTGCATCAATCTGTCATGGAGTAGAAATGCAAAACTAAAACTAGAGAGAGTGTGTGGCTCACCTCAAGGTAGTAGGTGCTCATCATTTACGTAGGGGTGACCTGATGATGGCAGGAGGTGGTGAGGGGGAGGGGGAGATAGTCTGAGACCTGTCGTGTGTGGTAGAGGTAGAGAGGGGGAAAAGAGAGACACTATAACAGAGACAGAAAGATGGATAGAGAGGAGAGAAGATACCACCATTTCTTTCCCTGCTGTTGCAAGGTGTGCTTCGTGGCGAGAATTAGACGAACAGACATTTCTTGCTCAAGACACTTGACTTTGCTGGTGCATTCTATTACGGTATTCGTCCCATTTGATTATACCTGATGGGCAACAACTCCTCTTGCTTCATTCCTGCTTGAAATTTGTACGCACTTTTGGCTTTCATTTGGAACGACTTAGTTTTTCCTTTGTGTGCTAAATTGCTTGATGTACACACAGTTTTTCCACTTTACAAGAGAAGTGCGCACATGAAGGGCTAAACACACGCCTCATGCACTTGGAAGGGACACTACCCTCAAAACTACTGCCATGATAATATCTGTGTGTGCATATTTGCATGGGCTAGAATTGAAAGTCACTCATTGAGAATAACTCCTTTGCATTACTCTACTAGTTCACGTAGTACACAACATTTGTCTCTTGCATTTACGTTGATGGCTCTATCTGGAGTTGCTCATTCAATCTTCCACTTGTAAGGCAGAAAACTTACATTTGTCACTTCTATGAACACAAGTAACGCACGTGCTACATGGATTAAAATTGAGCATGTCAGTCAGCTGCGCATGCTTAGGGCATATTGAGGCTCATATTTCCAATTACACAAGTAGCAGGTGGAAATTGGCACTTGGAGAAGAACACAAGAACTTGCACATTCTTTTCTGTCCTTGCAATTTTCACATTCTGACACACGATTTACTTCTCAATCTTTCATAAAGCGATACTTTGTTCTAAGCTCATGCACTACCACTGGCTCTTACTACGACGCATCACACTCTGACAGGGGGTGGGCTCCAATTAGGTTACCACACTCAATGGACTGACCTCTTGGAGGGGAGTGGAGGGCGGGGAGCGTGGATGCGAGACGGCGAGGAAGCCTCCTGTGTGCTCGCTCGCCCGGCTCTCGCGGGACTGCATAGGCCGGGGGTGGGGGGCAGATCACGCTTCGGCTGTGGACATCATTTCTATCCAGAGCATCTGTAGCGACCTCCACTTGCTGCGCGGAACTCTCGACCGTCGCGACTTGTGTCCATCGGATTCCTCGGAGCCTCCGACCTCTTGAGACTTGCTAGTGGCGAGGACCGCACTCGCGCGGGAACCTCTGGCCAGATCCCCATACTTACACATGTCGGTCTCTCTCGTCGGAGCGCTACTCTGCAGTCACTGGGGACTCAGCTGCGCAGCGGGAGGCTGTAGTCTGCCACGACGTTCGTACGGACGTTGGAAGACTACGTCTCTCTGCACCGCGTATTGTCTGGTATATCTGTCATAGGTGAGTTCGTAGCTCCCACTCTTTACCCAGTGTTTCTCCTGATGCATGCTGCGGGGTTAGTAGAAGTGGCAAGCGAGGGTAGTGGCGAGTGAGTCGAGCAGTAGTCTGCGGCGGCAGTGTATGGGCGTCACTGCGTCGAGACCGAGCTCGGTGTAGCTACCATCAGGGGACCTCCTGATGTCTGTAGGAGAGGCAGTCTAGCACTTGCTGGAGGACTCCGGGTTGAGACGCTCCGTGGTGGTACGAGGCCAGAGTGGTGCTGGTAACCATCGTCCCCTCGCTCCGTTTCTTCTAGTGGGACGATCGGACTTCCTCCTTGAGTACTCGGGTTTGAAGAGGAGTATTTTTTTGCCGGCTCCTGGGTAGGGGACTGTGATCTCATCCGCGTAGCTCCAATGCGGGTCTCACGGTACTAATAGTCTTTGGTTGGATGACCTTTCATTCTCGTTTGAGAAGAAGTTTGGGTATCTAATGCTGTTGCCGGTTCGTTACGAATCAGTCTGTAGTACCCCCGCCCTCCCTCCTCTCCCCATACCCCCTCCTCGTCGATAGAAACGCCTCCGACGCATAGGTTTGAGTAAGATCGTTCCACGTTGTCCTGTCATGTTGAAACCCACCCGCGACCTCCTGGTAACACAACGTATAAGATTGTAGCCCCCTATTAAATAAAAAAGTGGTTTGGTACCCAACTCGACATACTGTACCAGCTGCCACCTCTAGGAAGCGTGTACCCGACTCCCCTTCCTCCTCAAACCCCCTCCATCCTACATAGTGTATCGGTTGTAAAAGCGAGGTCAGCGATTGTCGTAGTATCTCCAACCACCCTCACATACACCACTACACCTATCCTCCACCACGATTGTTCTTGATCTCGTAATAGGAGTGTGAACCATCCTCCTCCAATGCCTCTAGCGTCTATAGTTACTCGAACACCTCCCCCTGTCATTACCACTGTCACCAACCGCATCCTACCCTCCCATGATACTCCTACTTTGCATCCACCAGTTCTTAAGATTGTCTCGCTCGGAGAACGTCACGTCCACGCGTCGCCCGCACAAATCGGTACGTTGAGCTCCTACACGGACTTGATGGCCTCTGGAAAGACTCGAAAAAATTACGTAGGCGAAGCCCGGAGGATGTCAGCCATCCAAACGTTGGGGATGGGGGCCCCCGTACTCGCGACACCTGCCCTGATCTCTTCTGTCGCCTTCCTCAA